CTAAACCCTACCCCTGACGGATCATCTCATCCCGTTTTTCGTATGCCATTCCTTCGGTCTGGCATACTTGGCAACAAAACTTTCATGTCATTTTCGTTATCATCACCATCATCAACTTCATCGTATTTCATCGCAATGTGTTAACCGCTGCTAGAGCCCGCGAGTGCAAAACACTTTTCTATGTGTGTGTGTGGGTGGGTGTGGATGTGGGTGTGGGTGTGGGTGTGGGTGTGTGTGGGGGTGTGTGGGTGTGTGGGTGTGTGGGTGTGTGGGTGTGGGTGGGGAGGGGGGGCAGGCGATCGGGTGGCGCAATGTGTTCTTTCTATCTGATGTTCGATGTCAAACATCAGAGACTGGCGAGGACCATACCTGCTACACTGTGGATACTGCCGGTGCCGATGGATTTCTGCGTCGCTGGGCTCGAGATGCTTAGGGGACCTTCGATGAGACTACTGGAGTGCATAGTCACGGCTGCGAATTGCCGAGCGTGCCAGGACTTCAAGTGTAAGAATTCTTTTGCATCGCTGCTTCTGTGTTCTCCTGCTCAACCACTTGGATCGCAACAGTCTCCGGATATGTCTGGCATCTCGAGATTCGCAGAGTTCTTGCAACTCGCTCGTACGCAGCTCTTGGAAGTTTGATGTTTTCAGACACAGTTCTTGCCCGGAGTCCAGAGGCGTTCGGAGCGGTGCTTCATACGGTGCCAGCATATGCGCAGGTCATCTCAGAAGGTCAATGCGTACGGCGCACACCAAACAGCCTGAAAACCCAAGCGGTGCCAATGTTTCCATGGGGCCGGCTGCCAGGAATTCTGCCTGTATATCTTGATCACGTCCTATTCCCGACGCTGAAGGCCGGTCGGTTATCGAAACCTCGGAAACGCTGATTCGATGCATCTGTTGGGCTGGGAAGCACTTGCGCAGGACAGCGGCTTCATCACCGAGATACACCACATCACGGGCGAGGCTTTTTCATGTAGAACTTAACAAGAGAGTGGCTAGTGCAGCCAAAACTTTGCACGGGCGTTTGTTGGGGAGTCTGCGGGGAGATAGGAATTCGTCGGCATCAGTGAGTACAGCCCACAAGTTCGTTGTTTGGTGCCCAGGGAAGCGATGCTGGCGTGGTGTACTGCGAGATGCAAGCCAGGCGCAATGCGACATGGTGAGCCTGAAACAAGACTTCGAGTGTGGAACTCTGCTAGGGGTAATAAGTGGTTGACAGAGGAATTGGTCAAGAGGTGTCAATGCCTGACATACCACTGACGTGTTTTTTGTGAGATCGAACGCCACTCCGGGACTTCGCGGTTGGGGCAGATTTGTGAAGTTCTGAGTGTTGAGCCCAGAAAAAAAAACCTCTTGATTCATGTTCATGGAAAGCGGCTTCGGTTCTAGCGGCAGCACCCTGTCAGGGAAAACGAAGCCGGCGACATGTGCGATCGTGCTATGCGACTGGCGGTGCTGCCTGTCTCCGACGAAGCCGATTCTAATGGGGGCGTTCAGGGTCTGAAAGCGGGCTTGTCCAGGTTTCAGAGACCGGTATGCTGCCTTCGGAAGGAACCCCCCTCTGCCACTTTGCCAACAGCCAGTAGCCATGTGACTTTCTTCTTCAACCGATGCAACAAATCTCTCAACGATCCCCTCCACTCTAGGGATCGGCGTTGTGGCAGAACGTTCTCGATGCTGCAGACTAGGCGTTGAAGCGCGAAAGTCAGCAACGGAGCCTGCAGTGTCTCTGTTGCGGTCCTTGCATGTCCCCGGAGCTAGGCCAGCTAGGCCCACAGGCTGGTGGCAAGAGCCAAGAAAGGCAGAAGAGGAAAGCAGCCCGACATCGTCACAGCTCTGATTCCCTCAAAGTCCATGGCCCTGCGCAAAGTCTGGCGGTGCAGGCAACCAGAGATCAACCTGCGCTCATCTCAGGTATCCCGGTCGCTGCAGCTACAAGTCTGAAACAGGTGGGAGGCTTAAGGACTGATGTTGCAATTGCTCAAAGTTTGCTCCTGTGACCAGCTACTCCATGCCAGACGCTGAAAAACACGGCGCTGAAAGGAGCTGCGCGACCTGACTAACAAGACGGTTCAGGACTACCACTCTGCCTACTACAGGTGCGGCATGGGTTCTGGGCATAGGCATGAGGCACCAAGGGGACGAGTCGTGAAGCATGTTACCTGTGCAGGACGCCTAGCTGACTCCTGAAGCATCCGTGAGTCAGGAAGTACTTCTGAGCCAGATGACTTCAAAACATGCAGCACTCGGCGCCGAACCAGAGAACACAGGTCCAGTCGAGCTTGATGTACCAATTTCCACGACTTCTCGCCCCGATCTGCACAGGCCGGACAACTTGTGCGTCATCGTCACCGGCCAGGCTGTTGATGGGGTGCACAAGACATCCTTTGATACGATTACAACGGAAGTTGCCTCGGTCGTTTGGCCACAAACCGAGAAGTGAAGGAAGGCCGCGGGTCCTTTCACCCCTCGGTTTGGGTCACAAACCTAGCAATGCAAAGTGGCGCTTCTATACAGAAGTCTGGTCTCCGACAACATGGGAATTTGCACGCGAGCTAGCCCGTCACGCCATTGCAGTGTTTGTTTTTGCCTTTTGTTTGTCTTGTTTTCTAATTTTCGACCGCCCTGTTTTCTGATTTTCCTGCGTCCGTTTTTTGATTTCGGCTTTTCCGTTTTCTGATTTTGTTTTCTGATTTGGTCCGGTGTTTTCCGATATCGTCCGATCCGTTTTCGAATTTGTTTTCTGATATCGTCCGTACCCATCTCCCACCAGACCAACATGAACACGCTTCGCCTGGGGAGCCGGGGTTTAGGGGTCGAAGACGATCACCGGATTCGCCCTTCCTTCGCCGCAGGTGGATTTCAAAGATCTCTGCCAGGCCCGAAATGATTTATGTGCAAAGCTCCAGAGGTGTCAAGAGGGCATCCCCTCGCTGACAAGCTGCGCAATGCGATCCCCGCTTTACATGAGCAGAGAGAGCGGATGATTTCGCCTTTCCGGCAGGCCTGCCAACCAACGGTGGCTTCCATCATGGCATCCGAGCGGATACCTGACGTAGATCGTGCCAGTAGCCTTTTCCTTAAGGACTTCGGACTTACACTGTGGAGGTCAGTCTTTCACGACAGCGACCACCACAAAAGCACTTCTACTGAGTTCTACTGTTGCCTTTAATTCAATTTTTTAGCTCGAGCCGAGGATCCAGAAGCTGCCAGCTTTGGAGAGGTCTTCCGGAGTTCTGAAAGCATTGAAAGCATAGTAGGCTAGGTCCGGAGGTGGTCTTTTGGCCAAGGCAAGGCTAGCTTCGTGACGAGGATTATTCAGGGCTCTTGACGATTGGCTTGACGATTGCGGCTTCCAAGGAGCTGCCTGTTTTGGGCACCTTTTTACGTCTTGCGTTTCCGCGCTCGGGAAGCCATGGAATGCGCAGGCCATTCTCTGGCCCAGTGCCGATGCCCAAGGAGCAGCAGAGAGTGAGGCAGGCTGCTGAGTTGTAGGTGGTAGGCCTCCGGTATGACCATCATGTGAACAGCGGTACACAATGATCGTACAAGCTAAGTTCCATCTGCATGTTATCATACTGACGTTCCTCACCTAGCAAAGGCATGACATGTGCGACAGCTAGCAGGGACTTGATTCCTGCACGATCACCTTCTAACTTCATAGTTTCAGTGACAAGAAGTCCACTTGCTTCCAGGCAGGATGTCATCGGGAGCGGCAAGAGCCGGTACCGCATGAACATGTGCATTTACACATAGCGCTTGTCGCATTTTCCATGTATACTCCAGGCTGCGAAAGGCCGGATATTATCATGCAGGGAGTGGGGGTGATGGGCTGAATTCCAAGCCGAAGTATACTGTGAGATCCTAGAACAGAGCCAAAAGCACCGACTTGAGAACCTCATGTCTCGTCATGTCTCGTCTTCTTCTTTGGCTGTTGTCATATCGCCAAGGACTCCAGGACCTCTTTACACCGTGCTCCCGCGTGTCGAAATTGCCAGGATGGAGTTTCCTGCTGAGGATGAGACCAGTGGAGGCCACTCATCCGGGTTCTTGTCAAGGGATTGAATTGAAGTTTGATTAAGGAAACCATACTATTTGCTATAGATCCTTATTGTGGTAACTTAAATTAAATCCCTTAGCCTTAACAAGAACCCCGTCACAGGTCTGAGGGGCCCAGTCTTTGGTTTGGGTTCCGAGGACTGGAGGTGCCCTGCTAGTAGAGTTGGTCGTTGAGATGTTCCCAAGAATCCTCCACACCAACCTTGAGAAACAAAAGCCCCCATGGTTTTCTCCAAAAATCTGGGTTGGGATCCGAGTACCCAGTACTGGCTCGACCCAACTCAGCTTGTCAGGCGTCGTGGAGATGTGCTGGCCTGGGCCAGCATGGACGGACTTCCGAAAGGTGGTGGCCCTCAAGGCACACCATACTTCAAATTGGAAATTCTGCGCAGCAGAGATTCAGCATTCGCAGCTGATAGGTTTCTCGCGTGTTGGTCTCACATATGTGCGACACATGCGGCAGACAAAGTTCGAAACCCCTGTCAGAACGGTATCTTAATGGTGGCGCAGGCAGTGCCCATTCAACATTTTCCAGCTGGCCTGGTGGATGCCACCCGTTTTCCGATCTCACATCTGCCGCAATGATGTCTGAAAGAGCATCTGCAGCCTTTCCTGTCATCCCTGCCTCTGATACAGCCCTCGGGTGAGTTACATAGGACGACATAGGACGCACAGATCACGGTACTAGTAAATGGTGGTAACACCCCTTGACAAACCCACCGACACGAAACTCAGAGTAGAGCGAGCCTGAAAGAGATGCCGGCAGGTGCTTCTGGCTTACCTGTGCCACTTATCTCAAGTACGTTGGAGGTCGGATGTCGGGGCAGGGTTATGGAATAGGGCTACTGCGAATGGAACAGCGGCCTTCTCCCTCTGCACGGCCCAAGCTGCCGCAGGTGTTGGTCTCTAAAATGCGTTGGTCCCAGTTTCAATGAGGTCCAGGCGGAGGGTTCAGAATCGTGGGTAAGGTAGCCGGCTCTGTGGGGCCTCGCAACAGGTGTTCTGCCAACTGCTCCTCCCCGATCAAGATGGCACGTGTTGTGTCCAGAGTGGCAATGGTGGTGATGCTTTCGGCGCCTCTCTGCTTCGTTGTACCTGTTCGCCTACATACAGCTCCAGTGGTGCGGCAAAGGCCCAGCAGCAGCCGGCGCCAGCAAGTGCCGACATCCTCCTCCTCCGCCTTGTCTGTTGCCGCCGTTGTGGGAGCAGCGTTCCTGAAGAAGGAGACGGGCCAACATGGAAACGGTTCACGAATCCTGCGAGCCACGACACGAGCCATCGTCCCAAGTCTGCGGTGGCCAAAGGCTGGACTTCGAAACTGCGACAAGAAACCCGGCGAATTGAGGGCTTATGCAGTTGCTGGATGCGACATGTGCATTGGGAGGACGCAAGATGGAAAGCTCTTCGCAGTTGGGGACAGAGTCCTTCCTAGCGGCAGCGGCACGTCTTTAAGTGTCGCTGCCAAGGTTCGGGGAGCCTTCGACTGCTTCACCGGCCAACCAGAATGGAACATATGGAACTGGTGCTCTGCGCTGCCGCGGATTGGCAAATTCATTGCAAGGATCAATCGGCGGAGGGGGGCCCTTCAAACCTTCGAGATTCGTGAGACGGGCCGCTCCGGTGACATCGAGGTTATGGTGGACACCAAATCAAACTCAGCTTGCAAAAGCTGGTGCTGGAAGGGATGTATGAAAGCCGATGCAGATTATGATGAGGCAAATGAGGCAAGTTCCAATGACAATGTACAGGGCGCGCCAAGCGGAAGGTGGTGTACGCCAGATTACCTAAGCGTTTTTCTTTAACACTGGGTGCTGTTGCAATCGTGACGTGCATATTACTGTGTTTACGCATAGCCACATGTGTGCATATACACTCAAACGAATAAGTACGCTGACAGAAACAATAACTCGATAGCTATGCTACGAAAATGTAAACGCGCATACCGACGTGGACCTGAGCGCGGGCTCGGCCCTGCCATGCACATGCATTCTGCATGGATTTTGCGCACCTGATGTGCAAAATTGGCCACTTAAGTTTTGACTCGCAGCTGCCGTGCGCGAAGTTGTAAACTGTAATCACACGGCATGTGACAGCAACGCGAGATGTGCGATCACAATGTCCGCACAAGTAGGATGCCAAGTACGCTGAGGCCGATCAGGCTTCAGACAGGGATGTTCTGAAAGGGGCGAGGGGCCATGATCTCATGCAACAAATCAGCTCCATGCTTCCATTCGCCATGCTTTGTCTTCTGTCTCGCAGCGAAGTTGCGAGAATGGTTCGCTGTCGAAGCTTGACTCAGCATGGCATCATCGCGGGTTTTTTCATGCTTGTAAGTGTCATCGTACAGAGACGCCTTTGTTGTACAAGCCGCAAGCCTGCGTCGGTTTGCACTGTGATGTACACACTTGGGCTTGTTGATTTTGATTGAATTGATGTGATGTGACGTCCGGAAACCACTCGCACTGCCGAGGTGAGGATTCGATTTCGCCACTGCGGAAAGCACTGGTTGAAACGGTTCCTGAGATCGCCATTCAAGATGAGGGCTGCAGAGGTGAGGTCTGCAAGGCTTGGATTTAAGGCTTTGAGGCTTTAAGCTTACGTACTGCCTAGGGCTTAAGGCAAGGGTTTTGGGGATACTGCGATGCTGGTCGCAGGCATGGCATGGGGTGCTGTCCAGTCCCTGAAGTTTCTTTGGTCTTCTACTTCGTGGGGGGGCATCTTTCTACAGTCACCAAGCATGCGATAGGGAGGTGGCCCACAGAATGGAGCCCTTGTGACGAGCGCGAATACCACCGATTCGCGGAGCCCATGCTCTCTCCCCCCCAAGCAAGAGACAACGCGCTGTGTCATGACCTTCCCTGGCACGCTCCAACAATCGCCTCTCCTCAGGTGCCCCCACTTTGCGGCAAAATTTCTGAGGGCCTTCACGATTACAAGCAGGAGGGAAGCATTGTTCGATGCGGATTTGACTTTGACTTTGCTGCCAGCTGATCAACTCCCGCTTGCAGTTTTTGCCATGGCGTGAGAACCACTGCAGCCCCGAAGCTTGCTTTGCCACGGAAGCCCGAGCCTGTGCATGGGCAGGTCAGATCGGCTGTGATGTTGAGAGGTAGGGCAGGAGAGAGGGGCGCAGAGGGAGGGCATGCGCGTGCTCAAGGAGCTCATCAACATCACTTTGGACAGCTGCGACGTGGAGCAGCTTTCGAAACGCGATGTCACAGCAGAGGCTAGGCCCGGCTAGGCCCTACCTCCTGGGGCTGCTAGACGCTCCAAACATGCTCACAGCTACAGTTGTGACAGCCCAGAGCGAACCCCGAGACAAGAGACAAGCTCTGTTGCCCTACCAGGTCCAAGCTGTCTTCACCGCAACAGCTGCCGAAGACGGATCGGGAATTGATGTCGCGTCCTGCCTGTTTTAGAGCTTTGCTCGCTCTTCGAACAGACTAGATTCGGATCAGGTTGAGGCCAACTGGCGAGCAGCAGGTTGCAGGTTTCGGCGACCGCATGTCATTGCTGGAGGGTCCACTGCAGCTGTGACCGATTGGTGGGTCGAGTCTAGAGTCTAGGGCGCCCAAAGAATCTCAAAGACGAAACTACCTTATGTCTATCAGGGTGACTTTGTTTTCGTTTCAGTCTGGTGTTCCGATATGTGTTTTCGACGTGGTGTCGCAATAAGCTATTAGTGGTACTGAGTTGGGTCTGCAAGGCCCGGATCCGCAGCGTGATCCGCCAGCAGCAGCGCCGTCACCTTTCCGCTGTGGAGTCGAATCCGCACGACCGATCGTTTGCCAGAGAAAGCATCATGTTTGCAAGACCTCGCGAAGACAACAGCGGTCATGATGTGGACCAAGTTGGTTATGGCCTGGAGGCTTTGTCATGTCATCAGCATAGCTCAACAATCGTAGTCAGCTATGCCAAAGCACCCAGTTCACCGTGTAGCAGATGTATCCGCAATGCTTGCTGGGCACATTCATGCACGGGATGCACGAGCGCATCATCCATGTTTCCCCACATTGAATCATCAATATGTCTGCACTACATGCACCCTCGTACATACGTACAATTACGCAGATGAACATGCCAATCAATGCGTGATGTTGCGCACAGACCCGATGTACAGGCCATGAGGCAAACGTAGGTGACTACGTATTCACACATACACATGCATGCATATCGACGTGTTCTGCATGAGGTTGCAAGCTGAACCAGTGACGGCACATGATCAATTGTGTGGGCGAGTACTGGTACGAAGTTATGCACTGCTGTGAGGGGAGCATGCTGCTACAGACTCTCGGGTCAGTGGTGGGTTTGGAAAGGGCTGTTGTGGCTGCAATGATGCTGCACATTCGTGAACAGTCCACCACACTGCTGAGATGTCCGCGCCCAGAGAGGCAGACCGAAGCCGCTTAAATGAGAGGATCTATTCAGCGGGGAGATCATCGGATCCTTTTGCTACGCTCCGGCCTTGCTTGCTCGCTTACGGCATTTGCGCATCTCTGCATGGCATAAAGAACGATGAAGCACTCCGCACGATTGCCTTCCAGTCTGTCCGTATCGCTTCCAGTCCTGGTGTACTCTTGATCGGGCCCGTGCTCTGCTTCTGTGCAAGCCTGAGCCTCTGTTGTTGCCAGGACTTTGCGCCGGGAGTTTCGGACAACAAGGGCGAGTCAGTTGCTTGACTCGCGCCTAGAAACTGGTTTGACCATGTGAGACCGGACTGGGCTTTCCTTTCGATGTTGCACCACCACCACCACCACCACCTAAACCCTGAAAGCCCTCAGCCCCACCACCACAAAAGTCAATCGTATCTGGGCCTCCAGTGGAGTTCTTCGTTACCCATCATTCTGGCGGAGACTACACCTTGCTTTGTCTGTGGACACTTGTGATGATGACCCCGCCGGGATTCGTTGGTTAGGAGCTGGCGGTCATGTGCGGTAGTTCGATTCATGCTCGCGACGACGAGCGAGCTTCATAGATTTTTCCCCATGGTTTGATTGGATCCAGGCGCTCTACGTTGCCCGTGAATTGGGGGGAGGGGGAGGGGGGTCGTTGCACACGCAACTTGTCTCTACCAGTCCTCTTTTTACGATTCATACGAGTCCTGTTTTCAGTTTCCCCTACCTTTGCTTGACCGTCGACCGATTGGATAATATGTCGCGACGTCGAGCAAGAGCATGATTGATTTTTACGGCTGGGCCGTCTCATCCCTGAAGCATGCGACGAGCAACCGAGCACGTCACTGCACAAAGGAGCATTCCAGACGGCCCGCTCGACCAATCAGCATCACCATAGTGAGCATCTGCGCTCCTCGTGGCCCAGAAGATCGGAAGCCCAAAAGGAACAACAAGAAAAGGAAACCCCACCGTATTTCCCCTCGTGTGCGAGAGAGTGTTCTATAGGGGTTGCAAACCAAGGTTCGGGCCCGACTTGACTCGCCGGCAGCTCTCGAGGCCCGACGGAGCTTCGATTTGCCTCCGCTTGGAGGGGACAGGTACGATGGAGCCTGAGCAGCGACGATCATCAGTAATTGGGCAGCTGCTGTTTCGGAATGCATGAAGGGACCCGTGCAAGTTTGAACTGTTGCGGCTATATATTGATGGTTCCAGCACTCCTTGTTGATCAATGCTGCAACACCAGGAAGCAGGTCCAGTGGGCATGGTTTTGTGGCGAGTGCAGTTGCGGATTGTCGATTTGTTGGTGCTGCTCTGTTCGTTCGATGTTATACCTGTCCTCCACTGCTTAGAGTCAAGTCAAGCTGTCCAGCTCCTGGCAACTGCTATGCTCCTTGGGGTCCCGCAGAAGAGAGAGGGTGGATTGGAGAGATCGAGTCGCCGGCCTACTGAACCTGCTTTTCAGGCTCTCCTCGAGTGGAAGTCGAAAGACTGGGCGGCACTTTGCAAGGAGCGGAGCTGGTGTCAAATCCAGTTTTGAACCCTGTTTCGAGCCATTTCTTGAGCTGGGCGACGCCGAACCTTTTTGCCGGCCAGAGGAGTTCCTCGTCTCCTCCTCCAACCCAGGCGGGATTGGAGCAGTTGGAGCCAGTCGGCCATCCTTCTCGTCTTCTTGCTTGCTTTTGATTTTTTGGGGTGCTGTAGGAGAAATCGGGAAACTGCAGCCCTCTCTGTCTGGGCGAAGAAGTAGGGGATCTCTCCACCTGCCGTCTCGTAGGAGGGCCACTGCGCACTCCAACCCCTTGTGGGAGGCGTCACAGTTTGCGGCTTCCCCTCCAAGAAGTGTGGAGAGACGATACAATCGGAGGACGGGAGCACTTCCTGTGAGGTCTTTCAGGACCAGAGTCAGCTGAGCTCAGCACGAAGAGACGAAAATAGGTACAGTGATTTTGTATGAGCCGCAGTAACTGTATCTGGCTAGGCAGGACTTTTCTCAACCTCCTCGGACATGGGAAGCTAAGATCCGCACCTTTCCACGAGCGGAGGACGCTGCACGCATTGAAGCTCAGAAGACGGCGCTTGGTGAGGACCACTCAGCATCAAGTGTTGAAGCCCCTGCAAATTGCTTCTGGCATTTCGGATAGTTCCCCGCAGCGCGGCATGCGCGGACTCGATTAAGGCGAGACGGGACGTACCACCACTTTCACCTTTCAGTGAAGCAAAGCAAAATTAATAATACTGCTAATCAGAATACTAGTAAGCAACCTGCCATATGGAATCGAGTCTCGCGACTGCCACGCAGGAGCCATAGAAACACTGCTTACAATAAGTGAAATAAATACACGCCTGATACAGAAAATAGTGCCAGGAATTAGTATCAGTAGAGTTCAAAAACCATACAAAGAAACACTGATTATGTGGTGGTGGTGGTGGTGGTGGTGGTGGCGGCGGCGGCATTAGACGGGCAAGGGGGGCAGGGTGGTGGTCACCCCCCAAGCTTCAAGCTCCGAAATTCTCAAACTTCGGGAAAGGCGGTTTTGCCTTGAGCCTGTATGCCCAAAAGCCCAAAGGAGCATCGAAGCTTTGCGGAGTCAAACAGAAGCAGAGCAAGACGTACCGGGCCATATCTGTGTTGTTCGAATGTATACTGGGCGAGGGGCGAGGCCAGATCACGTACTGCTCCACAGGGCACCTTCGCCTACTGTATAATTTGACTTCCTGCTGCCGGTCCTCTGGCTCTGCTTGCTGCGAGGAGGGATGCAAAAAAGCCGGCGAAACTGTGGCCGCAGCAGAGGAAGAGAACGATGCTGCTCGCCGCATTTCTCCCATTTGCCATTCCCAGGCCCAGCAGTGGACAGCTGCCCATACAAGATGAAGAGCCGAAACAGCTGCTGCATCTTGCGTCCAAGTGTCCAGGACTAATTGCATTGCTGAGGTGCTCAATATTTGTCTATCTTGCGGTACCATCTAACGAAGCAGAATCAAGCTTCGAATCTGTCTGAGACGATGGCCCTACCAGAGGTTGACACGCCTGAGGAGGTTTCCGCCGAGTTCCAAGTGCCGGACGTCGGGCCGTTCGGCTGCGGAATTCCTTTGTCTGGCAGCGGAGGAGAGCTGTACTCTCTAGGGCACTCTAGGGGAACTGTAAGGGAAGCAGCTCTGAGGCCGTTTTGAAAAGAGCTGCTGTGACTTCTTCGACTCCCTATGCGATTGCAAGTCCTCAAGACATGCTCAAGACATCAGTGGGGGGATGACTCTCATGAACAGCGGTGGAACCCAAAGCACTCGTGGATGACTCAGGAAGGTGAAGCTCATCGCTGCGTGTCTGCACGACCGTGTGGATGCTTCGTGTTGGGCAGTCATGTGCTTGCCAAGAGCATGTCTCCGTGCATGGAAGCTCTCCTAGTGCACCAAAGGCTGTCTGTCAAGTTGATATTCTCAGTTTTGCGCAAGAACCCAGCTTGACTATTCCGGAAGCAGGCACTTGGTAGAAACAACGTAAGCCCATTGCTTGGAGCACGACTACTCCCAAGCCACGGATCCTGTCTTTGCATTTCATTCTGAATGGCCAGCTTTAACCGTTGACATGACCTCATCCCAGGATGTGTCCACGGTGACGGTGAAGGGTGGAGTCGTGGAGGAGGTCTATGGCCAGGAGGCAGCCAAGCTCAAGGTGCACACCTGGGACACAAAATCCCAAAGAAACCCCCTTCACGCCACATGACCGCTTATCGCGTTAGCAGACCGTCGTTCCAGGTTTGTCCGAGTGTGAGTATCAAAATCCTATACCGTCTGTTGGTTCGACTTGCCACTCTTCGATCGCAGGTTGATGCGCTGTTGGGCAAGTAGTGTTTGATGGTTAAGGCTTTGTTTAGACCACCGGATTCAGCAAGATAGTAGAGCACCTATGATGATCCCTTGCTCCTCCCAAGTGTATGACATCTTGCGGGGATCGAATCAGGCGCTCCTGGGACAGACGCCATCGAGCGAACTGCCTTCGCTGGCTTTCCAGTTCGACCACGTCCCAGGCTTGGCGAGTGCCAGCAGCTAGTTCACAATGCACCCTTTTGGTGGAGAGCTGAGTAGGTTTAGGAGAAGCTGTGCATCATAATAATCATAATAAGTTAGTTATCTGGTAAGCCTGGTAGCGGCGACACAACGGCAACACAAGAGGCAGCAGAAGAGCAAGAGGACTGTCTAATCAGCTACTAGGCACTTACTAGTACCAGAATTGGCAGTGGCAGATGTGCCCGAGCCTGAGACATCCCGCCGAGACAGCTTGCACGGGGCTACTCGCGAGAGCTTTTCCAGGAATCGAGAGTTTGAATAGAAAACACGCAGCGCCCCGGTATGTTGAGCAATTGAAAAAATCGTCTGGATGGCTCCCTCGATTTCAAAACTGTTGCTTATGGTGACGGTGAAGTAGGCTTGCTTTAGAGCTTGTCTATTTGCCTACTTGCTTCGGGGTCGAAATGGCGGACTCCTTCCACGAGAAAAATACTGGCCGTGGTACTCACAGTAGCATGATGGAGGGATTAGTGTACCGAGAAGGAGCTCAGTTCGCCAAGTGCCACGTGATGCTGCCCCTGGCTGGGCTCACAACGCGGCAGCTGGACCTCTTCAGCGTGAGGGCAGCTTCATAAGTAGATTGGGGTGTCCTGGAGGGTTGGTTGAGGTCGGTTTCCTTTCTCCAAATGCCATGAAATGTTGTCAGAGAGAGCTTCTGAAGGAGCTGCTGCCTCTTTGGGTGGACACCGCCTTTGAGCTGCCCTTGGCGAAGAGCTCACTCGGAGAGGCAAGGCCGGTGGTAGCTTGAAGCGGTTTCACACGGGCGGAGCTGCTGGTCAGTAGACCAAGGCAGTGAAAGTCCATCGCCGTTTGGCGCGATGGCATTTGTGGGGTGGTTTTTGATGGGCCATAATTAGAGTTTGCTGGCTTTGTTAAGGAATCCCAGCCATAGCTAGCTGGGGGCGAACTTTTGGACGCAGCTATGACCTGGCATCGTGTCGTTGAGGCTTAGCCTGTGGCCCGTGGTGCTTGCATGACGTTGCCCGAGGCAAAAGACATCTTAACATGCGCTGCTCATGCAGCTGCCTAGATCCTGGTACCGATGCGCCCTCTTGACCGTAAGCTGCCGAGTTGAGAGAGGCCATCAGCTACGAGGCAGTCGTGCAGCTCTTGACAGTGCCGTGGCAGAAGAGGCATGCAACTCATCAAGCATAATCTCGAGGTGCCAAACCGGAATGCCACAAAGTTACAGCCAAGCCTTTGTGAAAAGCTCGTTTGCGCTACTTTAGACTTTCCTTCGTGCACGGATCCGCTGAAGTACATCACTTGAACCGCTTGGGGTGGCAAGGCTGCAGGTCTTCAGTCCAACACTGGTGCTCTTCCCTTACAGCCTTTTCGAATGAAGCATTAATTCAGTCGAGCAGCAAAGAATAGCAAAGAGGAAGAAGAAGGCTTTTTTTCTCTTGGCCCAAGCCATCCTTAGGATACCGTGGTGGATCAGAGCTGCTCCGTGGGAGTCGGTGGCGGTCGCTTCCGTGCCGGCCGTGCGGGGAGCCATGGCACGGTGAACAAAGATATATCTTTTAGGGTTTTAGGGTTTTTAGGATTTTTAGGGTTTTGGGGTTGAGGGTTTAGGGTTCGGAGAAAGAGGGGCCAGGAGTCAAGTAAGATTTGAGAGGGAACCGCTCCTGGAGTTCTGAAACCAAGTTTGCCCACTTCTGCGACGCAACCTACGCGTAAAACTATCGGGCCGTCGGTAGACATGGAGCAGAGTTTCCTTGCGGGGAGATGAGAACATGCAGAGATTCAAAGCGCGTTACCAGGAACATGCTCCACATGTCGCTGAAGGCGGGCGGATTTGTCGAAAACCCCGTGGGCATCCTGTACTGTGATGGAGAAATCAGCGTGAGAGCTTGCTGAGTCTCGCTTGTGTCGTTGATGTGTCAGTTTCCAGAGGAATTCAGATTGCGCGCCTGGTCTCGTACGTCTGAGGGGGCTTTGACATATCTCCAAGAGCTGTTCAGGTTGAGCGCAGCCGCTACGCCGAAGCTTCGAAGCTGCTGGGGCGGCTCGTGGCTGATGCTGAGCTCCTAGACGGCCGAAAGTGGAAAATGTGGCAAACACTGTCCCACTCCGTTGATGTCTATAGGTCACGATGCCCAAGCCTTGGGGCAAAGGCTGTCAGGGAAGGCGCCGCGAATTCCAAGAGTGTCTCCACAACAACGCCTCCTTCGCAAGCTAAGGTTCTCCGTAGATCGCCTCCAAGTCGCCGCCAAGAGGATGCTCAACGACATTCCCAACCACAAGCGGAATGGCAGGGTGCCTTGTCAGTAACTAGCAGATGGATGGCGAACAGGAGTCAACAGACTGCTGTGTCAGGGGCTCATGCGACTCGCCGTTGCCGCTTTCGACTTCTCGGACGACTGCGCTGTGGGCACAACGCTGCTGGATTGAGATTTGCTGCAAAGGCAGCCACTTGATGTCGCCTGTGCCTGTGAAGGCGACGGGTCCTAGTTAGAAATCCATGGCAGCCAAGGTCTGTTTTCCGGGTGGAACAGCTGCTGAAGGCCAGCTGAGGGATAGCGCTTGGAAGGCTTGGAAGAGTGATGTACTTCGGCCTGGCAAGGCAGTGGCAGAGGATCGCGCCGTGCTGGGGCTCGTAGCCTCGGCTCCCTGGTCGACTACTCGAGTCGTGGTAATTGAGTGCCCTGAACTTCGGGCCAGGGTAGCTCCTGCCTTGAAGCCTGCGCTGTTTGCGCGTTGATTACCTGTGAAAGTGGCAGTAAACAAACGCTATCAACTTGACGGACTTGGGCTCGCCAGGAGTCCAACCGGACGAACTGAGTGCGCCCTACTTGGGTGTGTAACCTCCTGCCCTAGCTGTGGAGAAGCTCAGGAGCTTGCGACGTTGCGGAGCGCTCTTCTCGGTGTAGCCGGCCAGGCGTGTGTGAAATTCTTTGGGCTGGCTGTCTACCGAGCAGTGGAGCAGCATGGCACCGCAGGGGTTGGGAATTGTAATTACAGTTTCAAGAGGGGTTGACCGCGGAGTCTCCAAGTCAGAAAGCAGGAAATCAAAGCAATCGCCAATGGCCCCGTGAGCGACTTGTCAGTAGGCGAGCAGCGGCGATTCATGAAATTTAATCTTGCAATTCATTACCATAGGTGTGTCTATGCCCTTGGTTTGGTCGGGACTGGCTAGACAGCACCTTGTGCGAGCTCGAGAGGCCCGGGTTGCTGGGGACGTGGCAGCACTGGGCGACATCTTCGGCCCCTGGTCGAGCGGACCATGGGCAGCGAAATTCGGGGGGTCAGGCCCGGCCTGATCGGTTTCTGAGCTGATGGATGAAGGGCTTGGCAAGGAGAATTCTCTCAAGCTGCTTGCCCGTGGTGGACAGATTCAGAGTAACAAACTTCGAGGGTCGAGTTGATGCGAAAGCTGTTCGTCTTTGGCCCAAGGTGGGTATAGCAACGGCACTTCGGCGCGGCCTTTGCTTGCAAGGGAGCTTCATGCCCTCCGGTCGGACTTCGGTTGTCTGAAATTTCAGAGTGCCTCCACGATAGTGCCCTTTGTCGCCACGCAGCGTCCATGACACATTTTTTTGGCAGGATTCGAGCCTGGGCTCAAAACTGTCTAGGAAAATTGTTTGTTTCGTATCCTCAGACCCTCCCAAAGCTCCGTCGAACATCGCCGTGCCCCGTCGCAATGGCCGTTCTCAGGCTCTGGATGCGCTGAAGCCTCCCGATGGGCCGGGTGCCAATGGGTGTTCTCAGCTTTGTGATAAAAAATGAAATACATGTCTACGATGCTACTGCTAGACATTGGAGGCTGCTGCGATTTAGCATCCATCAAAATCCCTGCAAATCGTGGCCAGCATTGGCCAGCTTCTCAAGACCCTAAACCCAAGCTTAGCCTGCCCCTTTCTGTTTGTGGTATCAGTTTCTGTTCGCTTGCTCCCTTTGATCAGGTTGGGTTCAGGTAGCAAGCTCGGACGTAGCCTGCCATGCCTGCGTGAGCGAGTGTGTGAGTCAAAGAGTCGAAACCCAAGCCGCAGCCGTTGCAGCTTTCATTTTCCTTCTGCCGCCCGACCTCCTTTCCACCGCACCTTGGAACAAAGGCAATGGATCAACAAGTCAGGGAATCTGGGACGCCTGGAGCGGAGCGTGATCTCCGACTGCCATTGACCTTCAGGCTGCTCAGCGCCTCTGCTTTTGCACTGCTCATCCTCGGAATGATCGTTTTTGGCCTGTACCATGCGGTTCCAGGGACTGCTGGGAATTCCTCCATCCAAGAGCTGCTGTTCGCTCTGGCATGTATGACGATGCTGGTTGGTTGCCTGGCCTGGATGGTCTTGGTGCGATGCCAAATCTACAAGCAGAGCTACTGGAGCGCGGAGGAGCTCCGGGACATTCGACCGGTGCAGGAGCACATATGGGCTTCGCTGTGCTTCGGAAGTTTGGGGAAAGCCAGCCCGGACTTCCGCTTGATGCGGATACGTGAAGGCTGTGCGCATCCAGTGAAAAGAGCCCAAGCCTCTGTGATCCCAGCATCCTTGAAGCCGCAGGAGACGTGCCTTTGCTGTCTGGAGGAGTTTGAAGAATCCGACACAGTGGCGCTGTTGCCCTGCGGCCATGTCTTCCATGAGGCCTGCATTACTGAGTGGTTCCTCTCTGCGAGGTCAAGAGGGGCGTGCCCCATCTGCCGGCAGCATCTGAACATCGTCTGAGCCAATGATCCCCGCTATAACCGCAATAGTCATAATGACAATCTTAGTAGTAAGAATACGACACAATCTGTGGGCTGTTGAGTTCGAACGAACATCTTGGCAGGAAGATTTTCAGTGATCCCGGAATAACTGGATGCTGTGATGTAGCTCGTTTACACCTACACTGTGGCTCCAAGAGGGTAGTTCTTGGCTGAGAACGCGCTGGTGGAGAAGACCATAAACCCGGAACGGAACCCGTCGTTATAAGACGTTCCCATGTCACAGCCTTGACGACCTGCTGAAGTCACAGCGCCAACCCGCAGTCAAACGCTGTGGGAGACGTCCATCAAGAAATGACAAGGCGCACTTCGTCACGCATTGTAATTCGAAGCAATCACAGAGCATCGAAGGCTTTGATAGACGATTTGCGCTGCATCCTGTGGACGTCTACCATCGCCTCTGGCACTGTCCAGCAGGTGTGTATAGCTCCAACCGATTCTGTTTCAATGTTTTCAACCTATACTGTTTGTTCACACGTCGTGCACAGGGCCAGACCGACTGGGTCACAGCCAACCTGTGCGGATGGTTTGTCCACCACTGGCATTCCGCAATGCCACCGTTTTAGGCTTCTCCGGGCATGTGTTCTCTTCACGGTTTCCTCGGGATCTGAACCAAAGCTTGAGCAGATTGCACCTTTTCCCGGGATGTTGCCTCATGCGAGCTTTGTAGAGTCTGAAAGGCACATGGCCTTTGCCTAAGGACACCTCTCCATCCAGGGTGCAGGACAAAAGGGCCCTTGTTATTGCAGCTTCAGTGGGCCTAGTCACCTAGTCACAGTGGATAGACCAGCCCCTGATCAAAGGTTTGTTTGGAGTCTTTGGGCACCCCATGTCCACATCCCCGGCCTTAGAGCATCCTTTCCTTGCCGCTCCTGTCCGGAGCTCGACTCAAAAACAGGCCCTGGTGCAGACCCCACAGGGGGACTGCTCGGGGACCGATTTGAGTAGTACCTTGAGGCCTGTGCTGTTGGAATCTTCGAATTGGAGTTGTAGTCGTCGCGGTGGTGGTGTTCTTTGCCGTGGCAGCTAAGTTTGAGGGTTTGGATCTTTATGGGCGTTCGATTTTTCGAGTCATGTTGTAAACTTTTAAACAGGCCTTGGGGGAATATTTGGGTAATTAGTTCTCTAAATTTGAGTCCTTTCTTACGGTCCTTGCTATATGGGTGCCGTACTATTTTGGGGACTTGAAAGGGACCCGAATTTGGAGAATTACCCATATCCTTCCGGTCCAGGTGATCCTTCTTTTCTAGTTGTGGCGGCCCGAGAAGGAATGACAACTATGAGGTTACAAGCTCGGCTCGTAAACTTTTACACATCACTGTAAGTCCTCAAACAAGGAGTGCTTGGACCCTAGGGCCCTTTGGGATGAAAAAGCCAATGCGCCAGTTAGCAACGCAGCGCGGTTGCTACCACCCCTCTCATCCTGCGAGGAAGGGTCAAAAACAAGCCTCTTGTACTCCTGCATGGATGCATGTGCTCTTGGGATCGTGGACACGCCAGTAGAATTTATGAGTATTCGACCTGCATGCCCCAGCACCTGTGACCATATTCAAACTGCATGAATCCTCCTGAAAGACTTTCTGCATTCTGCAGGAGGTACTCGTATGAATATTGCATGGGACCTTCGGGTTGACAACTTGCACGAGGTATTCGCAAAATGCTGACAAACCGCATGACTTGAACCTTCGCTCAGTTATGTTTGCGACGAATTCAATGGGAGCCCACTTGTGACACGGACGGTCTTTCTGTGCGGTGCGCTGACCTGGCGCTTCACTCGCCGTGAGATGTTTGGATACCGGTTCTGCGCTCATGTAAAGTATAGCTTGGAGAGCAACAAAGTTTCTACGATGTCGTTTCGACGGTGTTTTGAAACAGTACTCGAAGTAATGTCTTCGAGAATGTCATGTGGTACTCTGTGCTCGGTGGCATAGACATGCTTGGTTGTTGTTCAGCATGTTCGACTCATGTCTAAACTCCTCTATGTGTTTGCCTGTGAGTTGCTGCCAGTGAGTCAGCCAGCCTAGCGGAGACGAACCATGTAGAGCCTTGCCTGCTGCGTGCGAGTGTGAGTGTCGAAACCCTATACCCTAAACCCTAAGTGATAAAGAACTCTGCGACTCAAAGTCGCGAAGGTCGACTGTCGGCTGCCTGATCACCAGCTCAGCCGAGGACTGCGGGGAAGCTTGCAGATTCAGGGTCCATAGGGTTTAGGGTTTAGGGTTTAGAGATGAGTGTTGCACTGCTTAACGGCGACAGCAGTTCCGGGCGAACGAAAGCCTGCTGCAAAAGGATTTTGGGCGGCTTCAGGAGGTCAGGAGTTTGCTTTGTTACTTCTCGCTCATCTAAAGTCTCCCTATCTCTCTCGCTCGCTGTTTGCGGCCAGGCTCCTACAGTAGCAGACATCTGTGAGAGACGCGGAGAGACCAGGCTTGCAGTCCTGAGACAAATCGTGAGGAGTCGAACTACTGGCTGCTAGAGCGCACATCCTTCTCCGACCCGCGCTCGCCGGATTTGCCTCCACTTCTGGCCATCGGGCGGGTAAAGGGCTTCAGTCGTCCAGTCAAGCCTGGAGATCCCTGAAGCATAGACTTCAAGCCGTGGCAGGTGCAACAAATCGAAGATGCGTGAGACAAGAACTGGGCACGTGCCGTTCAAGTCATCTTTCTTTCAGTGATACCAAGTCCTTCGTGTCATACACGTGCAATCGTCAGTTCTGGTGTTCCCCGAGTCCATTGTTTCAAAAGGAAGAGCTGGGCGGCATCAGTAGTTCTTCCGTCTAAGTTCTTGATTTGCAGGGTGCCGCTGCTGCTGCTGATGATGCTGCTGAAGTGCTGCCGGATGCTTCACTGTTGATGCAGCTGCTGCTGTCACTACTGCTGCACTGCCAGACCCGTCTCTCGGGGCTCCAGCCTGTCACTGCCTATGATGTCAGTCAAGCCGCAATGAGGACGACGACAAGTCTCTCGCTACTTGTTGTGCGTTTGCCACTCGCAGTTGCAAAGCTGGTCAACTTCTCATCAGCTGATAGATGGGTGTCCATTTAAACTTCGCCCTGTCATCAGCATCGCACAGGTTGCCATTGAGTACATCACTGCTTTGGAGGGACCTTTCTGGCGCCAGATTCGCGGAAAGGGCTTTGCGCCGCCAAACTGCATGGTCAGGAGTGGAGCTGTCAACTGTTTTGGCGGGCTAAGCCGTACGTGCGATGTTCTGCAATGATAAGACACCGCCACATGCCGCATGCGGTCCGATGTCACTGGCAGGATGAGCTTGCGCAGGAAAACTTGGGATAGGGCCGCCTTACGGCAAGTTTCAGAGCTGGCATAATGTTCTGCTCCGACATAGCACTTTGTTTGCATTGGTCCATGCAGAAATGCAAACGCTCCCAGGACAGTATGTTATGCGTTCATGGTGAACGAGTTTGCAAGTAGTGGTCCTAATGATTCTGGGATAGAGCAAAAAATCATGGTCAGGTATAGCTACGGGTTGAGCCACGACCTCGACAATGGAAAGCTCACCTTCAGGCTGTTCAAGGTTGGATTCGACTGAGGGCATCCTGAGTGCACCCATTCCAGAAGCCTGATAGCAGAACGAATCATGTTTCGGAAGTGCGTGGCCGATGCGCAGCTTCCATGAAGGCCACGAACCCGGTGGCTGCTTACCAGGCTCTTCTCGGGGCTTTATCGCTTCAGCTGCGCCAAGTTGTTTGCGTGCCAAGTGGTCCCTTGTTCGAATCCCGTACGGCAGTAGAAGCTTAAAGTGGTTGCATGGCGCTCGTCAAATTGCAGCCCAGTACTGTGCGAGACGGCGCAAGCCCATACCGATCTTCAGCTTCGCAGCCACGCGCTGTCCTGGATCCTCTTTGAGGGCCTTGGTGTACCCAACTTCAACCTTTGCTTGCAGGCAGCCCGGACCATCGTGCAGAAGCTCTGTTCCGAAGGCCCGCGGACTCGGGATGATCAAGTACGTAGAAAAAGTTCGCAAAGTAGTAAAACAAAAATGGTCAGACAAGGCAAGACTGTTTCAAGAATGTTTAGCAGTAAAGAGCGGGCACCTGGCTCGTGATCTTCAGGTCGTTGTAGCCAGGCTGAAGCAATTGGATCTAGTTCAGCATCCGCACACGCAAGGGTTTCGCTTCTTTGGGTCTGCACCAAGGGCATCCATGACCCACTCCCCTGCTTAGGCCCCTCTCGCAATTTCTCGTCAGAAGGCTGAGAATAGGAAGGTATCCAAAGACTCACAACTTACAACCGCCAAGTAATCCTCGGCGAGGCCCGCCGGAAGGTGATGAGGAGGCTGGAGGGGACGAGGACAGCACATGCCTGTAGAAGGGGCCAAGATATTTTCATGGAATGATGCTTCCTTTCACTGGAGCGAGCTCTCCATGAAAGCTGAAAGGGTGGGGCACACTCGGACCAGCCAAGGTGCCTTCCTTCGCTGCTTGTCCTTCCTTTCGAAAAAGCCCAGATCTCTAGCCCACACCACCAAACAGCTGAGAGTTTCAGGTTGGCTGGGTTGGACGGGACGGGGTCCGAGTGTGGCCCGTCCGTGGTTTGTCTTCGGTGTTCGATGCTCGCGGTGTGTACTCATATCACAAATCTTCTCCAGTATGGGTCGGCAAAGAAGGAGGGAGATGAAGGCGAGGAGGATGATGTTGGCTTGGATCCCAGCGCGACTTGGCTGCCAGGTCGGCCACTGCAACCAGACGAGTTCAGTAAGGAACGCCGGTTGCTGTAGCGATCGGTGGGATTTGGAAGTTGTCATGCTGCTACAGCACTGCCCGAGATCATGATTCGTGCAGCAGCTGCGCGTTTTTCTGCCAGTCACAAGCCCCGCCATCAATAGTCAACAACTTCTCCTGACACGACAATGGCGTAAAGATGGAAACTGACAGCTGCTCAGCTTCTATGGGACGAAACATGGAGCCCCAAGGCTTTGGAAGCTGCACAGAGCTACTTGGCATTCAATTAAGTTTCATGGGCTTGCTTGGGAAGCTATCTAGCGGCTCTAGCGACTTACACAGCGCCCTTGCGATGCCTGTGGCGCCTTCTAACATGTAGAACGCTTCTGCTCCCGTGTTGAGCTGGCAGTGCGCCGGTTGCTGATGTTCCCTGCTTGCGATTCCGGATATGCGGAACCGTGTCCGTGGCGCATGCAGGCAGAATCGATGCTCAAGCACTGCCGTCAGGTGGCGTTCTGTTCGGCTTGATCGAGCCTGTAGACACCGTCCCAGGCGCGCAACTAAGACTCAACGAGATCCAGCCTGCATTCGAGCAGCAGTTTTGCAAGACTGAGATTGATTTCTTCCAGCTTTCTGTCTGGGGTTGTCCTGACTTGGAAGCTCTGACAGACTAACAGGGGCCAGAGCCTGCGGTAAGTACTCACCGAAACGGCGCCAGTTCTCTCCAAGAGCAGACCAGCTGAAGAGATCCTGTTCCCGTGAGATTCCTTAAAGGAGCTATGGGAGAGGCATTTGCCAACACGCCACTTGGATGAGAAGCTCTTGCATGTCTTGACATGGATTTAAGATCAGACCGCTGAGCTGCAAGACTGGGCGTCGAGTTGCAACGTTTGACTTGGAGATAGAGGCTGCAGCGATGTCCGCCGGATCAGCTGCAATGGTTGCTGAAAGCCGTGCAGAATGTGACAGAGGCGCAGACCGGCTCATGCCACGCATTCGGCAAAGTCTCGCCACACCCCATCCCCTCACCCTTGGCCCTGAGCGCAGCAACACAGAGCTCGAGGAATCCGTCCAGTCTGCCATGCAGAAGCACGTGCTTCCCTTGTTCGACGGTTCCTGTGGACGTACGGCCGCTGCCCTAACACAGAGTTGAGACTTCAGGCCTAGGTAGACATGCAAGTGTTTGCATTGTTGCCTTTGCAAGCAGCAGACTCCCGCTCCCTGGGCGTAGCCGGATGCTATTCACCGAGTTTTCCTTGATGGCCACCCCTGCTGCCACCACAGAAATCGCAATTGTTATGGGGGGGCTGGGTTGCTGGGGCTGGAGCTGGCAGAGCAAGTACTCGCAGGATGAACATCAGTAGCTTTCGTTGCCAGTCCCGTTTGTCCTTGCCAGCTTTGTCGTATACTTGAAAGATGGAGCACCAGCTTTTTTCTGTAGATAACCCTTGAGGATTGTCGCACCCTTTGCTTTCACGAGCTCTCAAGGTGTCCATGGTTGCACCGGCGCAGAAGCGCGAAGAACTCGAGGAGTCAACATGGGGGCAGGGCAGTCTTCACGCATCCTTGTAGAAAATTGCAACGAGGGCCTGAACCCATATGTTTGTGTTCTTTTCACTGGCGCTGGCAACTCAAACTCAAACATTGAAGTGTACCTAGACAGGTCTTTTGATCCCTGTGAGGCTCTAACTTTGCAATGCCTGCTCAAGGGTTGTGTCGAGCCGTGGCTCCGGCTTCAAACTGTCACGTCCTTGTCCCACCTACCGCCATTGCACCCTGAGCAGGAAGCTGTGGCCAAGCTGGAGCCGCCGCTCAAGGTTCCCAAGTGTTAGGGCCGTTACTCGCAGGCTTTGAGTGCAGTGCCTGGCTGCGGGACTTAGAAGACTTCAGGGCAGGTTTGAGCTGGCACGAGCTATGGGTAGCATCACTGTCTCGTGGCATCCTCTCGGCCACCCTTGAAATCGAGGTCTTCATGAGAGATCTGACACTCGGATGAGCACATCTCTGCAACCCAACACTAGCAAGGTGCGTCACTTGGATGTCGATGCTTTCGTAAATGTCCTGGGCACGGCCAGCGGCTTCGCGGAGCTGCGGAGGCCACGCCAAGCAAGAAAAGCATGAGAGCATCGAGTCTACTTAGTAAAGGTTCCTTCCGCTTTCCACCTGCAGCAACAAGCAGCTTGTACTTGCGGACTAATGCAATACCAGCGGCCAGCGTGAGAGGCTTCTGTTATCGGCCCGGTTAGATGCTACGCGTAGACTGGAACGTGCTGCCGCTTCCCAGCTTGGATCATCCATTCAATCCAAAGCATAAAGAAGCTAGGTGCAACCAAGTCTACTGGTGGGATTCCTCGCACGAACCTTTGGTGCTGTTTTTGACTCTGAGAGGAATTGCAGAAGCAGTTGCAGCATGTCAGGTCCTTGAGAGAACTGGCCTCGTGCCTGGGCTTCATCAGATTCCAACCTCATTCTAGCGGTGTGTGCGCTGCAAGGTTGTGGATGTCTTTCGTTGTTGTCTCTGCTGCTTGTACTCTGCGAGGTAGAATCGACCTTGTCCGCATCGGTGCGACTTGAAGGTGCAAAGCAACAACTTTCCGGTCTGAGTAGCATCACAAGCGTACTGGGGTGTGTTGTATTGGATGATGGGGCCAGTGGGGCCGGGATTCCGGCAAGCAGCATTCGGTGGAGACGAGATAACAAATTCGGCCCCAGTCAGTTTCAGAGTTAATGGTTCCGGCTCATCAGCTTCACTCTTTGGCAAGGTGGAGGGGTACGTCCAGATCCTCGGATGCCGACTTGGGCAGCCGAGGCCATAGCCATATAATGCTGAAGCGCTAGGCCGCTAGGCGCTGGGGTCAGGCTGCATTGGTTTCGGGTTCGGGTTACAGAACCCCTGCCCGAACATTAGCCCATGAGGGATTTACTTTCCTGACCGCCTGCTTCGCAGCAAACCTGCGTGCTGGCGACTCTGATACAGAACAGAGGCTTACAAGACGCGACGACACTCTCAGAAGACCGAGTCTGTTCAAGTTGATCTTTGTTCATTTCGCTCTTGGGGACTGCGCAAGAGAATATATGCATTTGCACCGCATTTGGCGGGCAATGCTTACGTTGGACAGTCCTAGAACCAGCAGATCATCAAACGGGAGCTACAAGTTGTGTGCCAGGTTGCCCTCTTGCAATATTAATTTCCTCCCTGCCGCTACCTTGACAGCATGGAGAATGAGCTGTAGCAACCGATGGATCGGAAACCAAGCAGTGCGTTGGTGTTTGGATGTTGGTCGTCAACTGTCAACATGCTGCACATAAGATGCGACGGAGACGTCGAATGACAGTCCAAGTCGATCGCAGAGAGTGCTTTCAGTGTTCCACTCCTTCTGATGAAGATATCAAGTTTCAACCCGCATGACGCGCAGCCACTTGGGCTTTGGATGCAGACGCGCGGATCTAGCATAGGTGTTTCTTGCAAAGCACTCCGCATCCCAACCTTGTCGGGCAAGTTCACTTGATAAGTCGCCTCGACACTGACGCACTGCCACGGGGTCAGCTGAGTCTCACTGACTGGAAGACAACCCTTAAACCCCGAACCCGGCCCAAGGCCGCCAAGGCCCCAGCCCTTTTTCCTTCCTCTTTGTTTCATGGGCCCTCCATGCTCGGCAAGCCGCTTCGCGGCGCCCCCCGGGTCAAGAAGCGATGGCAGCTGGAGCTGGAGGGTGAGCTCGCCCTTGCCTCGAAGATTGTGGCTTAAGGCTTCAGGTTTTGTTTTAGAATTTTAGGAGGGGTGCTGTAACGGGTTTTGCGGAGCATAGGCATGAGGTTCAGCAGGCTTCGCAGATCGTGATAGAGTCTTTTTGGGCACTGAGGCACTAAGTCTCTTCAAAAAAATCCGCCGCAAAGTGCAGCACTCGAGACAAACCACTGCGGCCTGTGCATGCACACGTTAACACGGAGTCAGAGAAGGGCAACACCACCCCCGCTGGGCCAAAAACCCACTTAAATCATGATGCACTTGGCAGGAGAGAAGCTTCTCGAATCGAGGTTTAGTCAGCTTATAGCATTTATCTGCATATTGACCAGATTTGAGCAGAGGCTGGCGACAGCCACGAGGCGAGCACTTCTCTTTCTGCGCGCCGTTTCGTGGTTTGCAGGGCTCCAGGAGCGGACGGGGACCTTCGCGTCGCTACATGACGGGTCTTTGCCTTTCAGATTGGTTTCGTGGATGCTTCTCGTTCAAGCGTAACCCTGATCATCAGCTCATCCGCAGCGTTTCGCTTGGCCTATCAGCTTCCACTGCGGCCCCGCATGCATGTAAGCCACCAGACCGACAAGCAGGCAGCAGCGGCAGCAACATCCATACCAATGCCCTGGAGCCTGTGCAAGCGTGGTCCGAAGCCCACGTTCGAAGACTTCACGTGCTATCGAGAAAAGATCCAACATTTAATTGAGGCAGCCGGTCCCTGCAATGCGGGGTCCCACACTGTCCAAGCTGTACGCAATTTAACCCAGAGACATCAAACCTGCAGTCCCCCAACTGTGGAACTCGTGCAGCGCCGCAGAGTCTCGCCAAAAGCGCCACACGCCACTTGCTTGTGTCTTTGGTTTCGTTGAGAAGCAGCTCCAGCTGGAACCTCTCAAGGGCCTCTCCTGGATGTACTGTTGCTAGTTCATTGCACGCAGAAAACCTGAAGTGCGGAATGCTGGGACTAGGATTGGCATGTCTCAGGGACCCACCATCCCAGGTCCGATTCTCCACTTGCATGGCGCTCCTCAGTCTTGGGAGCCTCCAAGTGGAGGTGGCCTTCTTGCGGCTGTCGTCTTGCATTCGCAGATGAAGCACATGGCGCAAAAGAGATCCAGGTTCGAGAGTGGTTTGCATCCCTCATCCCTCGACGCTTCGCACACCGACACATAGCACTTGGCGCAGCTGCCTCCCGGTTAAAATCAAGACGGCTCTTTCCACGTTGAGATGTTAATTTTGACATGAGCCAGCAGCCACCCCGCAACTAGTGAAGACTGCGGTCAACGCGTGGAGGCAGTATTTGCCCAACGAATTGCATATGTTCAGATGCAACAGCAGCAAGGCAAGCACAATCAATTTCCACATGGAGCCTGTAACCAAGGGGAAAGTCGTCGAGCTGCTTGAAGAAATTCTGTCCACTGCGAGGCCACGCAGACTTATGCTGGATGTTTCGCAACTACACTGTTGTCACCTGTCGATGCTTGGCTTGGGACACCTAGAGATCTAGAACATGTCCTGAGAGGAAGGTTACTCCGACGTGCCCCGACCGCCGCACGTCCACAAGGAAGATCATGACGGCAGGGCCGGCTGGGGATGAAGATGCATTGCAAGAGAGAAGAGAATAGTTCTGAAAAGGCGGAGGCAACAATAGACTGTCGCAGCATGCTTTCTCTTGGGTTGGGCAGCCTTGCACAGAACAGGCGACACTGGAAATGTTTTATTTAGCCTCTGTGTACGCTTATTTTTTGTCACCTGAGCATGCCGTCTGACACAAGCGATCCTCGCGAGTGGTCCGGTCACACTGTATCCGGTTCGGGTGATCACACAGTACAGAAGATCCAGCTTCCAGAATCTGCCAGCTTCACAGGCCTTCAACGCCTTCGTGGTCTGGGCGACTGCACAGAAGCAGAGGCCCCAGCAACATCATGATCATAACAAGGCTCCTACCCCTGCCATATAAAATGGCGTGGGTGGTATCAATGATTTTTTGATTTTTGTAGTAGTACATCTGAATATTTAGCTCGATTTTGGAATGACTCAAATAATCGTTTCCCCGCTGCTGCAGATGCTCATGCTGAACAAGAGAAGCCCTGCACCATGATGATGATGATGATGATGACGGTGGTGATGATGATGGCGACGACGATAGCTGTTTTTGGCCTTGCTGCCGGCTGCCACTGCGGCTGCAGCTGCTGCTGCCGATGCTGATGATGAGTATGATGTTGTTGATGATGGTAGTGACGGCGGTGGTGCTGGTTGTGGTTGTTTTTGGGGTTGGTCGTGGCGGCGGCGGCGGCGGTGGTGGTTGGTTGTCGTTGTGGTTGTGGTGGCGGGCTGTGCTTGCTGTGGTGGTGGTCGTCCGGCCTTCGTGGGATCAAAGCATATCCTTACCTACTGAAGCAGGCCGCCTCAGACTAGATCTTGGATTGAAACATGGGGGTCTCTGGCAGGAACGGCACCGTGGAGTTCGGTGGCTACCACAACACTGGCCCCGGCGGCGTGGCCTTCCTGTGGGCACACCAGGCCCCCCCCTGCTGATTGGGGGTTAATGTCTCAGGAGTGGCAGCTAGGCTTCATATTTGATTGAGTTGTCGGACCCTGTCGTGGAACCAATCTCGGGTGCGAGATGATCCCGTTGCGCTTGAAAGTTAAGTTAAACTCCTGGCAATCCTGGCGACAAGAACTTGTCGGCCTGTCTATGTCGCGGTTTGAGTTTGCTCTGACATGGACCCTGAAACGAGGTGGGTGAGGAGCTGATCTATGCCCTGGACTGGGAGACCCTCGACTACATAGAGGGCCTGAGAGCGAGCGGAGGTACTGCCTTTTTTTCCGTTGGAGTTTCAGTGTGCAGCCTCGGCCGTGGGCTTGCTCGGACTGAGGGCAGAGCTTCACTGCAAGGGCAGATCGCAGCTGGACATGATCGGAGGTGACTCTTCTCATGCGTGCAGAGAAGGGAAGGCTCAGAGGCTTGCAGTTCTCATGCACCCTCACAGCCCTCACAGCGGCCATTCTATGTTGAAATCTAACCGAAGGCCACCCCTTCTCCCAACGCCCTGTTCTTCGCTTCTCTGGGTGCCATAGGCTGGCGAGAGCTTGACTTGATTTCCCTAGCCCTAGCAGGTGCTTTCGTCGGCATTGCGCGTTTGCAGTCGATATGGCCCTGGCCGCCCGTCTCGCATACGAGAACTCGCTAAAGCCTCGACCAAAATAAGGTCTTGGTCGGGAGCTGCCTAGGCCTGTGGACTCTGGACAGTGCCACCATACCGCCTGTACCTGTAGCTCGGGTTCCATCCAGGATGGGTCAGCTGATCGTTTGAGGTTTGGTGTGCCAACTCAAATCCGCACTTGTCTCGAGCGGCCTTGCCATCTGCAGGCTTGCATCATAAACTTGCCAACACCCGTATGACTTTGGACCGGAGGAAAAGGTGGAACGAGGACTTCTGCCCTCTTTGCTCTGATCCCAGCCGGCAGCTGGTTCCCATAATTTCTTGTACGATAAGCCATCGAGTCGAAGCACGGTTATCGACAGTCAGAAGGGTAGCACCAGCCCAGAACCGTAACCAGGCTCGTGGACTGCTGCGCAACGGCCACGTATGCGAAGGCCGGTTTTAGAGCTCAAAGCCCGGGGCCCCCCGTTCGTCAAAGGGCCGGCAGGTTTGCAAAGACTCAACTTCCCCGCATTGCGAAAACTGCTGCAGATTGCTGTGGTCAGAAGCCCGAGAAAAAGATATACTGTATACTTGTATGGCGTGCAGATTGACGGTGTTTTTCTGAAGGAGAGGTACAGCTTTTCCATGATGCACCTTCACTGCCTGTTCACGTTTCTTTGCATGCATTGCGACCGCGGCTGTCTTGGCGGCCTTGTCTTCCGCATCATCCACGCCCTTCTTCTTTGGCTGCCAGTTTTCCCACCGTAGCATCTTTTGTGTGTGTGTGTGTGTGCGTGTGTTGCAAACAGTGCGTAGTGCCCCATGGTGTGGCAGACTGTTTTTCCCGCTACACGGTCGAATTGTTGTATGTGTTGCCATTCTGTCAGGAGTGTACGGCGTGTGCGTTTTTGTTTCTTTGCAAGTGCGAATACTACATCCACATGCATACATACATTGCACTACGTTGCATGCCTTACCTTACCTGACCTTACCTTACCTTATTACATTACATGACATGACATTACATACATACATACATACATACATACATACATACATGCTTTTTGACTTTGAGAAGGCTGCCAAGTCTTAAGTGAGCCGAGGCTTAGCGACGAGTGGAGAGATAGGCACTAAGTCTCCCCGGCCAGCCTCTGTGGCGTGTCTTAGACACTCTCAACCAACGCGAGGGTGCTGCACACCGAAGTGCCAGGCAGCACCACGACGGTGGTGGATGGAACTGAACCACATAACGTGCTAAGATCTTTGATCCAAATCATCTCGAGCGTCGCTCAAAGATTGGTAGAGGAGCAGATAGCCACAGTTATTGACGACAGAGGAATACTCTCTGAGATGGTGGCCAGGCTGATTGTCATCAGCAAGACATCCATCGCCATGCTCAGCAATCAAGAAGGATTGGTAGTGACCACTGGTCGCAAGCTCTCCCCTGTGTGAACAAATTGCCCGAAGTCTGTATTCCACAGCATCGGTTTCCAGAGCATGCTGATCCGTGAAAACCGGGAAGTAGATAATATGATCCGCTGTGAAGTGGGCAAGTTGTAACATGGCAGCGGAGCCGGCTCACTGAGTCCTTGTACCCCATCATACATACATACATATGCATATATCTGCGTATAAGTATGTATGCATACAAACATATATACATACAATGCATGTCACACATGTACACATCCTTGCACACATACATATCCACGCAAGTGTCCATTTTTGCTTGAAGTTACAGCTGCATACACAGTACATGCGCGCATGGACTAATGTCGCATGTTTTGCAATCCTACACCAACATGCCGTTTCATGTAGTGTGCAATCTCGTGTTTGCTGTGCAGGTGCCGGCCGTGATCCCACGCGCCGTGCTGTTCAAGCCAAACCCACCGGAGGCCAGCGATGTGTTGTGCGAAGGGGCAATGCCTTTCGTAGCTGGTAGTTTCATGTTTTTAGAATCAGAGCAATCTAGCCATACGAATGACTGTTGCTGTGAGTGAGAGTGCTGTAGTTGTACGAGTTGACGGCGCAGCAAGCAGAACAAGAGGCAGTATGGCTGCGATGGAGGCACAATGCTCACAGAGCAACACTGTGACGGGAGGGTAGCCGGTATCACCGTTGCTCTGTGACTGGAGGATGGGAACGTGGATTAGTCAATGATGAGGTCATAGTCAGAGCACGGAGATCAACAAGTATCAAAACCTGCAGTTCCGACCTTCAGGTAATATTGCGGCGCTTGCAGTGCTAGGGAGCTGACCTGCACGCAAGAACAGTCCACTTCGAAGCTCTCAAGACCTACGAAGCCTTGAGGTTCCAAACGGTTTACCGGGGCATGTAATTGAGGTCCTGCTCCACCTCCTACGGGGCTTACCGGTGAATGCTCCGCTTATGGTTGAGGTGGGCGTGGACGTAGGCGCCTGTCGGCATTCACAGGGAATGACAGGGAGCGCTGGGAACTGTTCTAGCATTCTAGCTGCTGCAGTGCAGATGCTGCTGGGCTGTAGAGCTGATAGAACTGTTTGCACGCGCGAAGTGGGTGGTTTGGATAGTCCCTTCGGCTTCTGTTCGGCTCACCAGGTTGGCCACAGAGTCGTTGATCTCCCAACTTGTCTGCATATTCAAGAACCACCAAGTGGACATTCCCGACAGGTCAAACATCGGAATTCTTGCTGGAAGCAATGCCAAACCTGACACTGCTGCTGGGCCAAGCGGGGATTGGGATTAGGAGCCTCAGACTCTCCAGGAGCAGCAAGGGAACAGCAGAAACTTGGTGCGAACATAGCAAGGTGATTCTGTAGCTACCGCCCTTGACGAATCCTTCTTCTCCGATTTTGATGTTCATTGTCACGTCATCATGCAGTTTCGCTGTTGGGAGTCCTGCGGTGGATGATATAAATCCTGCATTCCCCATAGTAAGGAATATACCCATAATTCCCATACTTTAGGGTCCTTAAGGTAAAGCAGGATTTGTGTGCTTTGCAAACGAGGTTTGGCGTGGACCCTTACCCGGGCTTCTACGACAATCAGAGGCTCTTCGAATGCACGTTTGCAGTTGCGCTGGAGCAGAGCACGTGGGCTCCCCCCATCGCTTCGAGGAGTAGCGAGCGCAGGGACCAGATGGGTGGCGAGGAAGCCTTCAGCTTCATGGCGAGATTGCTGCAGTCCTGTTCCGAGTACTTGGCTTCTGGTTTGCCACTGACACCCTTCGCACAGAAAAGCGTTCACCTGTTCTCCCCGCGCACTCCCCGTGCTTCCCAGGGAAGCTCGAGGTCTCGAGCGTGCTCTGAAAACTGCTGTTATGCTTTGGTTTAGGTGGCACGGCTCCTTCAGGGGAAGGGTGTGTAACTGAAAGCATCTCGTGCTCGCCATGCGGCCAGCTTCTAAGTTTTTCCTCTAAACCCGAAAGCCCTTTGGCTTCCTGGAAAAGGGTTTGCTTAGCCCGGCATCTCATTTACGTGGCGGTGACCAAGCCAGCCATGGGTGGGGTGTACCGCGAGGATTTTGCACACTCCCGCTGGCAAGCCAATCGCTTCTACTTGGTGTCACAGCACAACGAGGACCCGGAGCTCCTCCGTCAGAAGGCACGAAGTCTGCGAGCTCTTGGCCTGGAGCCCCCACGTGCTCATCACTTCAGGCGTTTGGCGCAGCGCCAGGGTGAGCTCCAGGAAAGCCCTATTTCGCGGGATGCACAGGTCTCGACTCGCTTGTCGGGGGAATCTCGTAGCGCGACGACTGGCGGGACGGGCGGAAGTGCTTCACCAGCGACGTCCGTGGAAGACGGTGTCGTATCCGCAAAATACCGCCAGGACCAGGGCCCTGGGGACTCCACGGACCATTGATCTGCCACCCCGAAAGAGACCTTTCAGCGCCAAGTTCCTTTAAGCGTGCTTTGGTGGGACAGACCTGAGCAGGTGACACATCTACGCCACAAGTGTAATCCAATTCCCGTTGTGTGGGACCGCCCTTCGTGCCGTTTCCCCAAAGCTAGGATCTACCAAAAGAAGTAGCAGGTTCAAATGGCCGCCAGGCGCACTTGCACAGATGGCAAATTTGGGTGGGCTGGTCCCCGGGCCACAAATTCCAGAAGGCCAGCGGCGCCCATTGCATTCCCCGTTCCCCGCAAGTTGGGCGTCCTGGTGGAGCACAGGTCTCCTTATGAGCTCGTTTGGCGTACATAGCCGATTGGGTGCAGTTTGTGTACAGGTGCACGTGGTCATTGGAACATCCCAAAAACAGGCAGAAATTCCTGAAGTTGCAGCTTGCAGCCAGTTACAATGACCAGTCGAATGCCGACGTAGTATTATCATGTGCTGCTACATGCAAGGCAAAGATACAGCAGGGCGATCCAGCATAGGCCCTTGATGCTAGGTTCCGAGGCTGCGCCAGGAGAAGTTCTGTGGAGTTGCAAGTGTTTTCTGAACCCGTGGTCCTCGGAGGCAAGTATGGATGTCCAAATCTGTTTTGTGCAGCCAGAACCTAGGTGTCGCTTGCATCGAGGAGCGTAGCTTTTGAAGTGCTGCGTTAAGCAATTCATTGCTCGACTTCTGTGCAGGGGGCTGAGACTGAGGCTGCATGGGGAGCATAGAGAAGGTATGACAACTCGCAGCCTGGGGCAGATTGTGGCTCTCCGCACGCCAAGAAGGCTTCGAAATCATTGGCTAGAAGCGCTTCTGTTGCCACATAAAGGACAGGAGCTGCACGTGCAGATCGGCTTGCAGTGTCATGACTGACGATGATAGAGCTTGGGCAGTATGGCTTTTCATAGAAGCTGCGCGGGGTCGGAACAAGGCAAGCCCTGACGGGCCTCATTTAATCAGCCAACCTGGTTTGACAGAATCAAGATCACGGGTCAGCGTTCATGGCCTGAGAGTGCAGCACTAGTAGATTGTTGCCGAGTCTATAATGGCCAGATTGCCCCAATGCATAGTGGTAGAAACGGCCAAGCAGCAACTGAGCCAGTGTCAGACCGGGAAGTGCAGCTCTGAAGCAAGCTTTCAAGGGCTTTCAAAGCAGATCTCGAGTTTCAGATGGCTTTGTTAACAATTCTGCGGCCGGTGCACTTGGACATCGCAAGACAGTGGGACGGCGACATCAGGACGGTTCACAACATGCTGACTGCTACGGAGAGTCAGTCATATTTCAGTCTGACATGTTCTTGCCGTTGTCACCGCATCCAAGTCCGCAAGGGAGGCAGGGCCCATGATTCAATCCGCAGGCACAAGGCCGAGCGGCATGCTTTCAGCCTCCCAAGTCCGAATCCGACCTGGCCTTGGGAGGCCCGTTCCGTGCATCGTCTCAAATTATCCGCAAGCTCGGGCCGGGCCTGCAGTAGATGGCTGATGGCTCCGCTGATAACCTGAACACCATGCAAGCTGAGACGTATCAACGGCAATCAGCAATGCTGGCATTCTAGTTGTTTCAAGGCTTTTTTTTAACGTGGCTACAGCGAAGCGAGGATCGAAGATGCACCCAGTTTTGTTACTTGGATGCTCGCCATCAAACACCGCGCACGTTGAAGCATTGCGTGGGGAAAAAACTGCATGCGCCGTGAATACGAACAGACTGAGTAATTGAGTATTTACACCACATGTGCAGCCTGGTGCTGTCTCCGCTATGATGAATGCGCCATGCATGTTCACGATTGTACCCAGTCCTGATCATTTTGAAACAGCCGAGCGACACTACAAGGTTTTGGCTGCCTTCGGTTAGCTACATGAGCAGTCTGCGGACCACAGAATGCAGTCGTTTGAATGTCCCTTACTTATGTTTTGGTCAGCCTGGTAGCCTCTCTGCTACCTTTTGTGGTTTGCATGCTTTGCCATGTCCATGTAGCAAGCTCAGACCGTAACCGCCATGCCTGTTTTGCGAGTGTGTGAGTCGAAACCCCTAAACCCGAAAAACCCTAAACCCCTAAACTCTGTCGAAACCCCCTAAACCCTAAGTTTGCCGGGCCCATGCAAAGGCGAAGCCCTCGCCCGTTACGAGCGATTTCCATCGCGAGCCCACCTCCGGCGAGAGGCCAGGCCGGTCAGGCAAAACATTGAGGGTATTTTTTGGGTTGTTTTAGGGTTTTTCGGGTTTTAGGGGTTTTCAGGGTTTGTAGCGTTTTCAGGCTTTAGGAGGCTGTAAGCCTGCCTAAGCTTGCCGCTAAGAGTGACGAAGTGCGAGGGCCAAAGGTTTGTGAGTCAAAGCGGCAAGGGCTGTTGCAGACTGGACGTGAAGATGTCAAAGACCGAGCTGAGGCATCGGCATCCGCGGCTGCTAGCTGGAACGAGGAGAAGGCAAGTCTTGAGGTGGTGTTCATGTGCTTCTACAAGTCCCCACCGCTTCGCCGAAGCCTTGGGGGCCTCGTTTGCGCTGCTCGGCCCTAGCCGATGCACTCATATGCACTGTGTTGTCGGGCGACTAGTGTGAGGAAGCTTTCAGGCCCGTGCGAGCAAGCGTTCAACACACATGCAAACTTGGCACCAGCAACCTGCCGCACCAGCTGGAAGCACTGCTTAAGCCGGTGCAAGCGGGCACCTACGCAGGAGAGAAGCACGTGTAAGCTGATGCGACCACGCTGGACATGCCTTGCAACCTTCTACTGTCCAACTGCCAACCGTGAGACCTCATTAGGCTTGTTCGAGCTGTGAGAGCATAGGCATAGTCCAAAGAGTCACCGAGGTGTTTGTCCAAGCTACATAGCAGGGTGCGAGGATGCTTGAAGGCTTGAAAGTCTGGGAAAAAGCTGTGCAACTTCATGAAAACCCGCAACACAGAAACGGCTCGTGTGCTTTCCCCGGGTCCATGGTATCCTGCATCGGAGGTAGAACCAGGGCTGGATAAGCGGCAAGCCGGAAGCTGTCCTGGTAGCAGCAACCCGGTAGTGCAGAAGTCAAAGTGGAGGACGGCTTGCATGTGGCATGCACCAAGCAGGCCAAATATCATGACGGATACGTGGTTAAGAAAAGTCCGATGCCACCCCGGCTGTTGATCCTGCCAAATGGCGTGCCAGTTGCCTGACCTTGTGTTCGTGGATGGCGAGCATGATTTTGAGCTGCTGGGACTGCAATAGGCTGGAGGTTGAAACTGCCGAGTTGTGGGAGCCAGTGTGTCCGACTGCCCTTCAAAGCTGTGAGCGACCCAGCTGCGAACAAAAGGTCATCATCACATGAGTAAAAGGATCCAGAGCATATTTCAATTCGCAAGGAGCTAGAGTTTCTGACAGTTCTCTCTTGTTTTGATTGGTTGTACATTGTACATGTGTCTCTGCCCGTGTGCTGGGCGCCCTCCTAGTTAATTCCGAGTCCAGGTCATGCGCCAGGGACATTCGCAGCTGGTCCCAACTTGTGCCACCTGGTGGGGTGGTTGCCGGCCACGACTATCGCGCTGGCTGGGGGCTTTTCGTGTATGCACGGGGAAGCAGGGAGCGACATTGGTCAAGTCGTCAAGCTCTGAAAACCGGCCAGAGATTGCACAAGACCTCGGACATCTGTTGCAATGCCACCCGCGTTCCTTGACTTCCTCCTGTGAGGCGTGGAGGGCGTCCCCAGAGCTGTGCATGCGCTGATACCGGACCCGCTTGAAACCCGGGTTGGGCCAGGAGGGATCGGACGCCTTTTCTGGTAACCACACGGGCTCGGTGCACTAGGTATGTGGGTCTGTTTGGTGCTTCCTGAAGCTTCGTGGGCTAAGAAGTGCGCTTTGCGCTCTTTTTTCGTGCAACATGAAAAAGGCAACATTCAGACTTAGCAGGAAAAGCAACCCGGAGCCCCACTGATTTTGTGACTAACGGTTCATTGTTCTCTGGGGGATTCGGGAAAGACCCAGTGAGCTTCATGTTGTCCATCTTGGATCCTTGAGAACGAACACGGCCGCTGTTGCCGTTTCCCTTGGTGCTCTCAGCCATGTAGGCAAAGAATTTTCCAAAAATCGCAGCATGGTGGAAGGGAACGGGGTGTGGCGGACCGCTGCGAAGCTGCGGCTCCTTTTCCTGCGGAGGAGGCTCTGGGCAAGCAGCCCCAACGGTTCTCTCGACCCCAGCAAAGTCAACGGCTGTGTGCTGGTGTTGGTGCAGACCATCGGCAAGAACCTCTTCTTGCATTTTGACACACCCGTTGGACTTCAGGTTCTCCATCTCCACTTTGGCATGTCAGGTCCAGTGGCAACTCCGCTTTTTTGTGAGAGAATAGAAAGGAGAGGCTCTGAGCGTCCGATACGGATTGGTTCTGAGTTCATCTTGTGCACCCCTGTCAGGTGGCATCCCGCTCTTTCGGTTGTCAGAGGACCCGGGACCGCGAAAGACGTCCCGCCTGAGGCTGGAGAGCTCCGAGACCGAAGTTGTGGGTTACATGTCCGGCATATTGTGTCGGCTCCTATCCGGTGCGCAGCTGGCAAAGGTGACAGCACAGTTGGGCCCAGATCCTCTCCGGGTGGACAGCGAGCCGCTACGGGCATGGAAGACCATCCGCTCCTCATCGCGGCCCATCGGTCTGATGCTGATGGACCAGTCGGTCATGGCAGGCATTGGCAACATTTATCGAGCAGAGGTGCTGCACCGCCTCCGCTGGCACCCTCTGCGACCTGCCGGCACGCTTTCTGCCTCAGACTTCGACAAGCTTTGGAGGGAAAGCGTGATGCTTTTGCAGCTCGGTGCCAGGGTCGGAAGCCTTGTAACTGTGCTTGACGATGAATGGCTCAATTGCAGGAACCACAGCCAGGACCACAGCAAGGATGCGCGCAAGCGCCGGTGGGTTTATTTCCGGAAGGCATGCTTGACCTGCGGTCTCCCTGTTCGCTGCTGGACCCTTGGCGGTCGAATTTGCTTCGCTTGCGAGTCTTGTCAGCTCCCTTGGCAAGATCCCGATTGTGCTTTGGTCTGTGAGACTGGCGAGCACCATGGATGCAAGGGAGGGAGGGGGAAGAGGGAGAGGGGGAGCGAAGCTTCAAACTTGGGGCCATAACGCCATAACGTTTATCCGAGATTGATCCAATAAAAGAAGACCCAGTTCAGGAAGCTTGGATGGAAGAGGCCAGCGAAGCCATTCCGCGGTAAGGGCAAGAACAAGGTGTGCCAGGATGTGGGGGACCAGAAACCCGACATCAGCACAGAGGAGTCCAGCATGCTGGCTTCACTGAAGGGTCTTGCTGGGCCGGCTCCCTTCACAGTTCTGGAAAATTCTGTTTCTGAGACCCTGAACGTGGCAAGACTTCGCCAGCTGCTCGCAGAGCGACTGTTGCCTACGGAGGGCTTGAAGGCGGTGCTGGTGGAGCGGTTTAATTCTCATCGAAGCTTTCACGACAAGGCAGGGTTTGCTCCGGTCTTCTTCGGCAAGAGCGAGGAGCTCGGTCTCGATCCCTGGCCGCCGGAGCCTGCACGAGCACGAGCATTTGCTGCGATCCATTGCTGGAGAACGCAGGAATCCATCCACGCTTGGGTCCAGCAAGACCCCAAGCGCTATCGCTACGGCCGTCTCTCAGGTCGCATCAAGAAGCCCGAGGGGAAAGACCTGGACTTATGGCCGGAGAAGGAAAAGGAGGCGGCTGAAAAGGCTGTGGAGGGTTCCGGCCCATCCGGCAAAAAGCGGAAGGCCCGCAACACGGATGTGAACGCCGCGAAGCCGAAGCGAAGGCAAAAGCTCGTGGCGAAGAAAGAGAATCCTGGCAAGGTCCGGAAGTTTGCACGGCTATCCTCTGTTCCGACTGTTCCTGCTCCGACATCGGGCCCAGTCCGACTTCGACCCAGCGGCATATTCCTGGACCTGTGCGATTTGAAACCGCCGTCAGCTGCGAATGCTGCAAAGATAGTGGATTTAGATGACCTGTAAGTACGGGTCGGAGTCTTGTGCTCGCTGGGAAAAGCGGAGTGGTTTGCAGGCCGTTTTCGTGAGACCCTTCGAATTTTGAAGGTGTTGTCCCAATACCCCGCCAAACCCGCACAATAATGAATATGGAGCGAATCAACATGAGTAGTAAGTCTTATTGACTAGTGATATTGGTAGAGAGCATGGGAGCTTCTGGGTGTAGGCCGCTCCTTGGCCTTCTTGAGACCAAGGGAAAATAAGAAGCGACAGTTCTGGATTGAAACATGCCTTCGTGCATAGCCAATGCGAGGAGTCGGCCACGCTGCACCTGGGACCCCACGGTGTGTGGTGGTGGCGCGTGCCGCCACCCTGAACCCATTGGATTTGGAAAAAAGCCGTGCCCGTTTCACCTTGCATTTTCAATCCCTTGGGCCAAAGAAGGGCTTTCAACTTTGTACAAACTTCTTCTTAGAGCATTTACAACGGCATGTGCGCAAACACATGAGTCACCATTATTCGAGGCATGGCTCTCCGAGACAGGTGATTGCTTAGAAACTCAAAAAGCATCGGTCCTTGGGTCGATGCACTCGCCTCTGATGCTGCTACAGATGCATAACGGCCCGTCAGCATCATCATCCGAGGGCCCCAGGATCAGTAAGTTCATTTGCCTGCGTTTTGAACGGAGGTCATCACGTTGCCACGGACGAAGTAGCTCAGGCGCCGCTGCGCAGAATACGCCCGAGTCGATCCCGGAGCCCGCCAGAGAGGGCGAAGGAGACCTGGCTCTGTTCAGCCCCGGAATCTGCAGCTTCGTTCGCCTGGCATAGAGGCTCCCATCCGGAAGCAGCTTCAACTTGCTTGATCTCACTCGGAGTGTGAAGGGCCCGGCCTTCGCGCGTTTAAGCGAAGAGTCTGCGTCTCGAGCATCTAGCTTCCCCGGCCCCTGAGGCCCAGGCGTTCGTAGAGGGAGCCAAACCCACATCATCAAGATTCGAGTCCACAGGAGAAGTCCGACGAAGGCAGCGACCGCAACGCGCCATGGCCGGGGTTAGCTGAAGCGGTGCAAGCTTCGGGCTTCGGGAAACGCCCATGCCCCTACGACACGGAATGGACACTGCAGATGTGTTGATCACGATCACGGCCAGAAACGAAGAAGAGAGGCTTGGAGATTACGGTGAATACATGGCCCTTTTTTGAATCACAGGCACGGCAGCAGTCTCGTCCGATGCCTGCGGGCGGTGTTCCCAACGCCAGCAGCAGTAGTACCTCCTCGTCATTGTAGTTTTCGTAATTTAGTAATTGCCATCACGTAAATCACGCTTGCAGACACGACGATTCTGGAGGTGCTTGTTAGAGAAGCCCCTCAACCAAGGAAAAAGCAGGATGTCTTGCAGTACAGGGTTGAAATGTGTGCAGTGTATTGGACAGTAGGCAGTAGGTGTGAGCAGAAGTCAGCTGTCAAATTCCGGAGCGCCCATGACGTCAGCAGTTTGCACGTACCATTTGCAAGAATTCACCTGCTGTTTTTGGAGATACGATTGCTGGCCCAAGGCTCCATGCGATGTGGACCCTGCCCCAAAAGAGACAAAGGCACCGCCTGCTGCACGGAAGTTTTCCCAGCGCGACTGCTTTAGATTGGGAGACCTCATGCCTTCACTACACCCAGGCAAAAGGGTTCTCGGCAATCGAAGAGGATGGCTCGAAGCGTTGCTGCTAGCAAAAGCGGCCGACAGCGAGTGCACTCCAGGCTTATGCCTGGATGGACAGCGATGATGAGGGCGCCGGGTCCGGCAGCGAAGGCTTGCAGAAAATTGCAGAGTATCGAATTCCAGCTAAGTTCCTCGTGTCGGGCTGTTGGGGGGTCTTTTGGTCATGCACTTTCAGGGTCTCTTTGAAGGACGGGGTCTGTGGCAAACAGCTCTCTAGTCTGTCGGACAATGAACGCCAAAGACCATCCTGGAGCAATCGGATGGCAAGATCTGCTCGTCGTCTGGTTTGAAGAGCAACAAAAATATGAGGTCGGCAGTAGTTGGCTTGTTAAACCCGTCTGTATCTCGAAGTGGCATGGCAAAGAGCTTTGCAGAAAATTTGTACATAATCCTTGGCTTAGAGTGATTGCCTTGCCAACAGTCCTACAGGGACGGAGCAGCGGACCCTTCTTCTGAAAGGTGCTCACCCGAGCAACACTAGATCTCGGTCGCAGTCACCCGAGGCAGGGCCATGGTTCCTCCCTCTACCCGAAAGGACACAGAGAATTGGCAGAATTCTTCCTTGAGCACCTAAGCTAATTCACAGTTCGACCGCGAATGTCGACCAATCTATCGAGCCTGTTGAGCAGTTGGGCAGGTTGTTGCTGCAATGACGGCTTGTTCTGGTTCTTTAAATCGAGACGATCCCTTGTGACTTGCGTATGAAGTGGGAGTCACGATTAGATGCGACCCTCTCTGCTGAGCCTGCCAGCTGCCAGCTGTTGCACGGAAGTGCAGAACGAATGCTGAACCCTTCAACTCCGCTACAGGCTTCTGCGGTGTCTCCCGGCGAAGTGGAGACCTTACCGCAGATGATTCGCCTGGCAGAGGACGGATCCCGGATAGGTTTGCAATAGCCACAGAAGACATCTGGCAATAGCCACAGAAGACATCTGGCAGGAGGAGAGAACACAGTATTCACCCGAATTGGAACCGTGCCAGCGCAGTCGTACTTCTGCCGAGACTGACGATCATTGAACTCTACCATACTTTACCTCCATCCCAGCTTTTCTTTAAGTCTTTCGCAAGACAGCTTCTGGGCCAACTTGTCGGTTGCAACTTCCCAAAACCTGACATGAAATTCAGTTGATTGGGCCTCGTGTCGTGGCTGCTTGTCGTAATAACATCCGGTCATCCAGTCACTGTCGTCATCACACACCGCGCCGCAGGCTTTCGGCAAGCGAAAGGTTCAGGAGCCTGGCTCAGAATGTTGGGGGTTGGGGCTTGTTTGTGAACTTGCTTCACTGCGACTGATAGCGTGTAGCCAGTCCCAGCTCGGAAGGGTGCACGTACACGAGCTGGCATGTCCCAATGACGGTGATCGTTGGTCACAGTTGAGCAGGTTCGCGAGTTTGGTGTCAAGTTTACCTTACATACAGAGGGCCTGAGCGCACAGCGAAACCAGTTTGAATGCTCGACAGGAGCTGGCAGAGCTACCAGCGGAGCCGTCCTCAGGGGTTCCGTAGCTCAAGGCTTAGGCTCAGGTGTGTTGTTTCCTGCTTGCTCGCACCGCCAACCCCGCCGCAGGAGCTTGGCGCGGTTTGTGCCGCCGCCGCGCGCTGGGGACTCGGTGTTGTCGGTGTTCCCTCACCTAGCCCAAAACAAGAACTGCCTGCACCAAACGTGTGGGGAAGCTCAAGACTCATCCTCCAAGGTGTGAAGTACTATGACCCGGGGCTATTCACGGAGACTCTGGGACCAGCAATGCGGAAGTGCCTCCAGGCGCGGACTGATGCTTGCTGCAGAAAGACCTCGGTCCCTAAGGATATCGAGGAATGCATGCAGAATCTTTGCAAGAAACAAGCTCCTGGCACCGGCAGATCACCGCACCTGAGGCTGGTCTCAGCTCACCCGGGTCCGAGGCACACAGGGGAGGAAGACAAGGCAGAGAGGTATTGCAGAAAGCGGCTGTTGCTTTGATCTGTGTTTGGTTCCGTAACATTGATGTCTATCGTGAGTAGCAGTGAAGCATAGTGAGACTGTTACAGATGCGACACTGCCCCAGCAGAATTAGATGACAGCACGCTGGCACCGTACGGCCGCAAGAGTGGTAGACAAATTCTTAAACTTGAGCCTTGAAGGAAAGAGTCGTACTTTGTCACAAACAGGGGCCAAGAGAACTCTTGTATGCTGAAGCATCGCACAAGGCAGTGTATCACCTGTGTAACACAATGCAGACTGGGGCCAGGGTGGCCAAGGCGCTTGGAACCCAAACTATCCCCTGGATAAAAAGTCAGGCCGAGTCGCGCAGGTTCAGCCTTCTCGAGGCAGGGAGGGGCTTTGAGTGCCCCTTAAAACCTTGCGAAAGTCTCGGCAAAGCCCATGAGGAAGCTGAAAAGAAGCTTGAGCCAGAAGCGCGGAGGCCTTGGATGTCCTCCGGGCGCTTTCGCAGCTCAACGCTGCCAAGGTGCGGCATTCCTCTGAAATGCGGGTACCAAGGGCCCAAAAACTACACACGAATCTGTGGTGAGGCGCTCTCGGCAGTGTTCACTGCAGCGATCAAAGCTATCGAGGCGTGATCGGAGAGTCGGAGAGATGACTTGGCAGAGACCGGCAGGAGTCAGGGAATGAGTCGCTCCCACTGACTGGAACTAGGCACCTTTGCCATTGACAGGAAATTCTGATATGCCCTTAATGACTCAATGCCGTCGATGGACCCTTCAGCACCTGGTGATGCTCCTCAGGCTTACGCGAAGAAGGCCGGGGGCACTGGCGGCTTGGACAAGGATCCATGCCTGCAAGTACTAGTTGCCCGCTCAGAGGCAGAAACGGCATTTCTGCTTTGCCAATGCAGCCAACGCATTTCGGAGGAGCAGATCAAATTCCTTCGGGAGCTCTTTGTGGCTGCAGGTCGGGAGGAGGACCCCAGTCGATGGCCAGAGGATTTCCGAAGGAAACTGCTGAAAAGGGTAAGTAATTAAGCCTCGGTTTGTCAGCAAGGACAAGCCAAGCATACCATTTCATGGACAGTGCTGAATGGGCTCGCTCCTGTGAACCAACAAAGTTCGTGCGCCCGCCCATCTCAGTGACACAACACCAAGCAAAGCGCAGGATGTGGCCTTCCTGTCAGAGCTCCGTGCTGCTGCTGGGGGTCCTCAGGGCTCCGTGAAGGAAGGGCTGAACAGCCAAGGCAGGCAGCAAGGGACTTCGATGTGTGTCTGCCGGCACGGCTCTCGGATCAGTGGGGCATGCAGAGGTGGCGTTCGCTTGATGGGTTCGTCGTGCACCCTAAACCCTAAACCCCTAAACCCTAAACCCCGGCACAAGGGAAAAAAAAACCGGCAGACGGAATTCCGAGCACGAGAACGACAGGGCTGCCGATGCGCCCTGGCGCCCGCATCTGCGATTCCTTCGCAAAGAGCGGCACCTCGGATGGAGTTTCCTGGGCCCTGAGTTTCCGGTTTGGGAAACAGGGGTTTGATCTGATAGCCGGCTGATGGTCACTAGTTTAGCTGAACTGCTTTGACTCCAACTCCAGGGTGTGGCATGCCTTCTGGGGTTTTATGCGCAATGGCTTCAGGCGTAGAGTGTCGGTGTGCCTGTATTCTATATCTTACGAAATACCCAGCGCCCAGCACAGCCAATTCGTGCCAGCGTGCGTAAACATCAAACCGTGGGTTGGCATGATTTGCTTTCTGGTGCTGTCAGGCTGATTTCATTTGACCGGTTTGCCAGTGCTTGGATGCGGTGGCATCGATGGAATCTAAGCCCCAGTGTCCTGTTGTCTGAAGAGCTTCAAAGTGTGGAAACTACAACCTGCACCAGGGCATTTGTCATGTAAGAAATGGGACCTGGTATCAATGATTGTAAAGCCGAAAGCTCTTCAGCAACCCGAAAGATCAAGTTGTCTCCTTGGGCACCACATTGGACTCGTCACATGGGCTCGTCTCATGGTGTCGGAGGCACGTGTCGTCTGGCGGCCAACTGCCGTTTCGACCACCCCGAGGGCATGAAGGTTGGGCCTAGGAAGGGTGATTTAATTTTGATGAAGACTAGGAGATGCAGGTGTACATTCTTGTCGATCTCTTTTGTGTCTCTGGAGCGGCGAATATCTGCAAGAAGACAATCGAGAAAATCGACAGGTGACGTTCAACTCAGAGGGCTTCCCGATGCCTGGCTGGCTTCATTTGAAGACAATCTCTCGCCGAGCACCATCAAGAAGCCTCTGTGAGCCAAGGATGCGGCCTTGGGCTGCAACCTGCCCATACTACATGCGGCCAAGCTGAGCTTCAGGATCGAGGTATAAGAAAAACGTAGTGCCACAAGTATCAGCACCCCACCTCCTACGTTACTTCTACAACTCCTAGGATGTTCTCCTTCGTCGCATCAACCTTGCATCCTTAACCCAAACGCAATGTGAGCAGCGATGACATTTGATAGCACATCCTGCTTGTTCACGGAAGCTGCTCCGTGCTGTGTGCAACTGAATCTTATAGGCTCACACGGTCAAGAGTCAAGAGCTTCTGGAATTTAAGTAGCGAAGCCTTTGTTCCCAGGTCAATGGGCACCTGCGACTTCAAGCGCAATTGCAAGTGGCACCACCCTGACAAGCGCGAGCGGGGCAAGTAGAAAAAGAGCTTCTTGCACTTGGAGGGCTTAATGGCATCGGCAAGCTATCATTCCAGACAACAGTGCTTGAAGGCGGCTTTCATGGGGGGTGGATTTCAGAATCGAAAGACATAGGAATGGCAAGTGATTGGGCTTCCGTCTTCCGGTTCGTAGCAAACAAAAGTCCTGGGACTTCGAATTTGCAGGTGGCCTACTGAGCCTTTGGTCTTGTGAACTGGGACAGCGAGTCTTGGGGTTTCGGCACAACTTCCAGATTCCATGCCTACTCGGCTTCGGGATTCGCGGCTAAAGGGTTTGTCCAGTCTGGGTCTGGGTGTTGCAACGTGCGGTCGTTGAGGCTCGAAATCTTCATGCCGGCTTGGTGCAGGTGATGCATCGACCATCCAACTCCCACGCTTCTGCAAGCCATTGTCGAGCCTGCTGGCATTCTCAAGACTCTCCATGGGAAGTTGGAAGGGCCAAGCCTTCATACCTGCGGCTTGGGAGCCATGCTCTCCTGAAGCGGTTCCATGAAGTAGGCCATGCGGCTTCCGCCGCTCGGTTCGACAGACATCGGCATAAGGTTCGCGGGCGATGTGTGGTCGATGCATACGACTTTGGGCTGGCCGTCCGAGGGGTCAACATACAAGAGAGTTAGCCTCATTTTTTGCAGACCTGATTCTTGTTCACACGGTGCTTCACCTCCCAACTAGATGAGGCGTGAGGTGACATCGCACGCCCACCGCAGCTACGGCGGACGAGGAACCATCAACGAGGAGAGCCCCATGTGCCATGAAGTGCTTCAGCGATGGAGTTTCTCCGAAATCCGGAGCCCATCTTGGAGCCCACCAATGCCTTACAGCCGCTGCAGGACTCGGAGCGCACGGCACAGTGGCGACTGCCGGACGGCCCGGTCCCGCGCCCTGTTTTGAGCCACATCGCAGATGCCTTCAGTAGTCTTGACATCGCCCCTACATTCAAGCCCTGCCGCAAGCGACAAGACCATGTATTCTCAGCGCGGTCAGTCGGTAATTCAAACTCGGTTCGGCCTCAGTTCAGCATTTTTGCGAGCGGATGCCGGCACAGTTCATTCCGGCGAGGGGCCACAGGGACTCTTTGCTTCGTCGAAAAGATGTCAGCACCGTGAAACCTTGCATCTGCAGTCTCTGTAAGGCTTCAAGGCCAAGCATGGCCATTCTTGAAGCACTGCTGGAGATCACCGCAAAAAGAGCAGCTGCATTTCGACCATTCTGCTTAAATTCAGGAGAAAGCAACAACTACAAGTTTCAAGCTCTGTGTGTGTGTGTGTTTATTTGTTTGTTGTTTGTTTTTTTGTTTGTTTGTTTGTTTGTTCGTTCGTTTGTCTGTCTGTTTGTTTGTTCGTTCGTTCGTTTGTCTGTTTGTTTGTTTGTTCGTTCGTTCGTTTGTTTGTTCGTGCGTGTGAATCGATTTCTCTATTGACTATTGTATTGGTTCTCGAGATAGCCAAATTGTCAAGATATCCACGTCCTACTAAGTCCTATTATATCTAGATCATCTCATCTAAGTTTCAGGCTTCGCCGGACCGGAGTCCCAGTCGCTCCGGCCGCGGCGCTTTGCTGAGCCACAATCGGGCCCTCCGCGGGTTATGAGGGGGGGGAACACAAAAAGCCTTGGGACTCCGGGGTTTTGCTCCATGGAGTCGAGATCTTCTCGGAAGTCTTAGCTTGTAAGCATAGCATGGTTCGCGGATTCAACAGTTGGGACCGACATGTTGAAGTTGCTAGCTGGAGGCAGAGGTTTCAAGAGAAATCATTCGCAGGACCTGAGCAACGCATCGAGTTTTGCCTTCCTCCCCGTTGGAGAAGGCCGGACCTACATTTTGTGCAAGTGGCTCAGGGGATCAAGGCCCCTTGCCTCGCCAGGAAGTCCGCTTGCTGCTCCGGCGGCTCCTACGGCGTTGCTCAGACGACTTCATCTGGCTGAGGGGTCATACTGTACTTCAAAGTGGCAAAAGTGTGAAGCTGGCGGCTTGCAGGTCACTTTCCTGAGAGCGTCAGCATGTTTGATTATAGGATGCCGCTGAGACCAAGGTTGCAAGACCACTTGGTGCAGCAGCAGGCACTATCGCAAACTGAAGGGTAAAGCAACTGCTCCAAAAACCCTTCAGTACCGACGGTTTCTTCCGAGAAAGACACTGCCAGGTGTCCATTCTTGAGGCTGAGCTTCTCCGCGAAGCCGCGGCCGGTGCAGCACTGGACGCCGATGGCATACAGGATGAGCTCTTGTAGCGATGCAAGAATGGGTGGGAGACCCTCTAACCCCTAACAGCCTAACACAGCTGAGGAGTTCTAGATTATCACCCCGGTACTCGCAGGGACTTGCAGTCTAGCTTAAGAGTGCAGCTTCAAGATCATTCCAGGACACCGCCTCCTCTCGTTTGTGTGCTTAAGGCTTCAATAGAGGCTCTCGCAGGCTGGATGCAAAAAGGCTTCAATAGCCGCTCATGCATTACGACTCGTCGACTTGTCGCCCATGTGAATGTTCGGCCTGAGGAGCATCTTGAGCTTTTCGAAGCACGACTGCGCCAAGCAATGACAGAGCAATTGCCAGGCGAAGGCTGGTGTTGGAGACTTGTTGCAAAACTCAGCGAGGGTTTGACGGCGACGGTGCTTCTAAGCAGACGGCGCTTTCTGTGATGGCAGAATCGAAGAAATGCGTCGGCAGTTGGTTTGCAACAGGCACACGGCCACTGTTCCAAGTTTGTTCCATTCCTGTCACCTTCGCGATTCTCGTCCTTGGTGCTGTTCCATGGACCCTCTAGTCACTCGAAGCCTCATGTAGCAAGTCCGAGTGTGAGAGCATAAGCCCCTTATGGTGGCCCTCGGAGTCCCCTTGTGATAACTGCTTTTGGTGACGGGGATACTCGGCAGGCCGCCCTCGCTCTCGGCCCCGGGGTCCATCGCCCTCTGCAGCAGAGCTCGAAGCTCAGGCCCGTACCGGAGCGGTACAGTGTCCGGATAAGAAGCACTGTTTACCGCTGAAAATTGCAAGGCGGTTTGATCTCGCAGGTTCTCGCTGCAGGTGCAGCCTTTGGGTTCGAGCTTGTGCAGGTCTTCCCAGGAAATAGGATCGGTTCTCAACGGGAAGCTTGACAGCGTGGCCGGGGCAATGAGAGAATGGGGAGTGGGGCCGTGGGCTTGTTTTGCTGTCATTTGCTGGCGCTCAAACGCTCGAAATCCATGGGCAGGATGAAATCCGTGTTACGAACGGTACGATGTCCAGATGCGGAGTGTTCAGCTCATGGCTGCCATGGGAGGAGCAGCAGCAGTGGCGCCTTCAACATCTGCAGCGGCCAAGGGTCACAGAGGAGGTGGAGGCAGCTGGGACGGCTCTTGAAATCCGTCGCCCCTTCAGAAACAGAGCTTCGAAGAACGACGTTAGATATGTCTCGAGGAAATCGCTTTGGCACTACATGCCATGGCATGAAGGGGCGACTCTTGCTAGTCCTTCATTGGCAAGCATATTCGTACGACGCCTGATGCAGCCACCTGCTCTTTGTTTGTGGTTTTGGACCAGGGAAGTCACTTCCGGCGACACCGGGCAGTCTCTCTCAGCCGCCGGCAGGGGAGGCCAGTGGCTGAGTCTCTTTGACCATGGCAGCCGTCGCAACAAGCAGACGGGTGCTGGAGCTGTATGGTAGGACCTTGTGCAACGCGGCTGTGGTGATCATGAAGGGAGTGTCCAGGAATTCGGGTTCCCGAGCGTTCCAGTTGCATAGTTATCGAATGGGTTGGACGCATGAGTGCAACTGTCGGCTTTGGGGGGCAGATGCGAGCTCCAAAAATCTACCACGTTGCAGGCGACGAAACCCCGAGCCACTTGCTTGGCAAGGATTCAGAAAGCTGTGACTTCTTCGGCAGGCATTCACCGGCATCAATGGCTGCGGACGAGGTTCGAGCATTGGGACGCACAGTTCGGAAGGCCTAGTGCGGTCTTTTGGGGTTTCACCTGCTGTAATTGCATCCCTCCTGTCAGACCTGGGAGGTCTCTTTCAAACGAGCAACCCCTACCAAATGTAAGCACAGTCGGCCAATGGTTGAGAGGAGACACATCGAAAAATTAGTGCTGCGTCTCACCCCTAGCATCCACGCAGGCACTTATGCTGCAGTAGTCGCATTTCCGACTGGCTTTTGTAAAGCGCTTCCAAGCCAATCGACACTCCATCGTTCTCAGGGCTATACAGCTATTCGCTTTTGCCCTGCCCTGCCCTGCCCTCACTTTGCAAGACCTCGACCTTCCACCACTTGGGCAGACAGGGCAGCAGGCCGCCTGAGCACAGACTTGTCAGCTGATGCTAGGAGTGCAGAGCTGGGCTTATCTTGGATCTCGCCTAGGTTGCGAGAGGTTTTCATGCTCCAGACCTAGGGCTGTTGTTCTGAAACCTGCCGATTCTGTGTGGCAGCACGGGAAAGTCCGTTGTCCGAAAGAGTGGAGTAGACTCCTGGGATTCGGGGGCCCCAAGACGGGTCAGGGAGCCCGCCCGCTTGGAAGCACAGGTCGTCACCGAGGTCAGATGCAGAGAACGAGGCTGGACGATAGACGTTAGGTGTTGCGCCGCTTGAAGAAGCGCACATTTCCCTCCCACTCAGGCCTGTAGTTCTGTGCACACAGACACGGTCTTATGTCGTTGTTGCTGCTCAGTCTACTTGTTTTCGGTGGTGCTAATCCTCCACCATCATCCAGTTGTTTTGCTGCTTGTCCCATGACCGGAAGTCGGCAGTGGTTTCTTGGTGTTGAGCCGGGATGTTTCTGGGCTTTCTCCACCACCCTGCGAAGGCATCTGCAGCGCATCTCGGGACTCCGGCTAGAAGCATCCCTCGTGGCGATACGCAGCTGGCTGCGCACTCGTGCCCTTGATTGATTCAGATGTCCGGCAGGTGATCATTTTGGGACTTATGAGAGGCTTCTACTTTATTCCATGTCAGGTGTGGTAATGATTAATCATGTAAACCCTCAGCGGATTCATGTGTGCGGATTCTTCAGGCTGGCACAACCGGCTACAACCCCCAGACCGAGCCAGCCACAAACGGGAGCGGAGGCGAATGCCTATGGAGAGCAAAGGCAGCTTGGCCTGGAGTTGTTTCGGTGACAGCTGCGCAGTGTTCGGCTGACCCTTCACTATCCTGCAGGTCTCTCGTGGGACCCGCAGGAGGTGGAGCACCATTGCCGCCACCTTCCACTCTGGAGAGCGCAAGGTCAGCATAGCAGGGGAAGTTGTTTGTTTCGAACTGCAATATGCCTTCTGAACATTAGCAGCATGTCCTGTACCTTTTCTTGTATGTTGTCTGCCACACAACCTTGTATCGGACATCTGGGGCAATCAGCATGCATCATCCGACCCATATCTCCGGCTCTTGCAGAAGCTCGTCGCCCATATGATGTCCTGCGACCATGTCATTCCCGGAAGGGGTGCTTGGTCATGTTGCGAAGCCTTTGTGGGCTTGACGTGCAGTCGTGGTGGTGCTGGTGCCGGTGGTGGTTTCTGGCGGCTCTGTCCGGGATTTACTTCTGATTATCCCACGGCAAGCACGATCATGCAGATTGTGCCATAGTAATTTCTTGTTCCTGACATGGTAGCGAGTCACCTAGAGTACAATCCTCGAGATAACATGACCAATGTAGTCCCACACGGTTTGGCAGCTTGATGCGCAAGCAGAATCATCCAAGTTAGCACGCAGGCCGGCCCAGATGGCCACAACAGGTGGTCAGCCCGAATTCGATGAAGCTGGAAAGCTGAGGCTGGCTGCGCGGTTTCATTGCCGTGACTGACCCGGATTCAACACCCACATTCGGCATAACAAGAGCAGAAGAAGTCGAAAAGGCGTATGAGTCCAGAGTGGACGCTCTTCGTTCCCTTTCTGCCAATTCTGAAAGAGGCCATCCATGCCCATGCAAGAGGGCGAGGCTGGAGTGGAAAAGCAGCCAAGGCGGGGCAACATTCTGGGAAGCTGCGCGGGAGTGGGCTGAGAGTGGATAGCAAAAGTTATCGAGCAGAGGTCATCGCAGTTCATGTCTTTGTTGATATCAAGCGAGATGTTCAACTTAGCCCGCAGGCCGGCCCAGGCAGCCGCAACACGTGGCCAGCCAGGGTCCGATGCAGCCGGAGAACTGAGGCTCACTGCTTGCTAGCAGTTGCAGCGGTGGTACGTGCCAATGTCGAATACGGTGGCGTAGCATTGGATCTCTGCGGCAGATTTCATCGAAGATCTTGACCCCAGTTTCAGAAAACACGTTCGGCGAAACAAGTCCACATCCACAGTTTCTCTGCGATAAGAGCATGGGAAGCGCTAAAGGCTGCCAGAGTAAGGCAGACAGACTTCGTTCCCTTTG